CCACTGGAAACATCTCTGAAAAAAAGAGGAAGAACCAAACAAATCGCGTTTGGAGCGATCAGCATGTGCGACTCTTAGTATCGTTTGTCTTGCACCCAGGGTAGAGAAATTAAACATTTTCAAAATTGTAGAGCTAGAAATACAGTCAACTCTCTTTTAACGGACACCTCTATAAGACAGACACCCCTGTAAAACGGAGACCTTGTATCGGTCCCTGCCTTTTTTTACCCCCTTTATTTGATTCTCTATAAGACGAACATCTCTCTTAGACGGACACTTAGTGCTTGTTCAAAAGGTGTCCGTCTAAGTGAGAGTTGACCGTAAGAAAGAAGCGAAAAAGTGTATTTCACGTTCAATTGACATAAGTACGTTCAAAGACGTTACGAGTCTAATAATTAGTTTCTTTTAACTTAGACATAAATACAAGGGGAATCATTCGTGTATAACGAGGAGGGTGTTGCCGACTTCAAACTGTTGAGATACCTAAGGAAACACTCTTTCAAGTGTACATGTTTGATGTACTTTTTTGACTCTCTCCTCCGCAAAGGCTCAAAAGGGCATAGCGAGAGTGAGTGTGGGCGCAAAATTTGTTGGGGCAATGGAAATCCAGCAAGGCCTCATTGAACCTCTGTGGAAGTGAGAGCCTTTTTGATCATGTTTACTGTTAAGGACAAAACATGATCAAATTTACTTAAAACCGTTTATCCAAAAAAAGAAAAATTTGTGAGTGTCTGTTTCCTGTATCTTGCACTAAGCTTTTCAAAACTGCACCCCTCTTAAGCTAGGTTCTTGCCAGGGACGACACCCTTTTTGGCCCAAGAATACCTGCGGCTGACATGTCTGTTACTTTTTTTTCTCACCTCGTTTAGACGTCTCGCTGCTGTCATCTATTACTGAACGGACGCAAGGCAAGATGGAATCCACAAGATTGCAAGAGTTGCAACTGTTCAAGTGTAGGGGTGCCAAGGTTGTCCGCAGTTAAGGATCATCTCATGGGAGATCACTGGTGAACGTAACCTGAACGATCTGTTCCACTCCGGGGTAAATTCATTGTCTGCTTTTGCCAATGACCATCAGCTTTACTATTCCAGCAAGAACCTGTAGACAGCCATAGAAGTACTAAATGGCCAGAAATCAAATACAACCTGGCGCTGCTGTCAATTTTGTGGATTTTAAACATGGCGACTGTACAAAGCTTTATATGAGAAGTATACAAAATGCACCCGTATCACATCAAGGAAATTGAGAATAAATCTGGGTTAAAAAATTTTAACCTGAATTTAATTTTGATCTGTAACATATACATGCAAAGTATACTTCTTGGAAACTGCGCTCGGATACGGTTTTTTACACGAACGAGTTGTTGACGTATCAGAAGTCGAAAGAGTGACATTTCTGATACAAAAACGAGTGCGTAAATACCGATCAAAGTACTTTTTATGTAGCATTGTGTACCATATACATACCAGACTTTCATCATTCTGTCAGCATTTTATGTTACTATATGTTACCAATGTGCTAGAAGTATAAACTTTGCCGCCACACAAGGTGAAATGTGACATGGAAGACAACAACGTCGCCGTGGTAATACAGAAATTATTCAATTAATATTAACTTTTTGTTCTCATTCTAGAATTTCCGGCGGAAAAAGACTGAAATTTAGTGAAATAGCCGGCTTGGACAAGTTTGCAAACGTATCAAGTTAAAATAGTACAACTCATACTTACTTGTTTTTTACCCTTCGGCAATGTTGCTTTCAAGTTCTCTTCAATTTTCTTCAATGACAATGAAATATACGCGGCTATTTTGTCCCAATTTCTGGACTGTTCTTTACTTTTCTAAGAAAACAACTCTCCTTTTATGGACTCGGCAAATTTGCAAGTTGAAAAACAACAAGAAGCAACTCGCAAGGCCAGGACGCTGCAATTGCCGAAAAAAGGCGGGAAACTTGGCGCGAAACTTTGGACGGAACCATTAGGAAATTGAGTAATTTCAATTTTCCGTGGACAAAAACCTTGTACCAGAATAATTTAATCAATATCGCATTCTTTTTTACATTTCTCAAGGACTATAGATGTAATTAGTTACCTGTAATAACACCAAAGACTATTTCTCATGGGAGCCCGAGGAAATAAATGTCAAATTTCACAAGAATTGTGAAAACACAGGTAAAATTCTGAAAATTTCATATGAAAGATCTCATGTTGTTAAATTTGAAATTCCTTTTGTCGGACTCTCATGTGAAGTAGTCTTTGGTGTTATTACAGATAACTAATTACATCGATAGCCCTTGAAAAATATAAAAAAGAAAGCAATATTGTTTAAATTATGCACCAGTCAATTCCACCTGCGCACATTCCTTCCCCCCCGGCTGACCCCCGGGCGGGTACTCTTGAGCTGTCAAATCCCCCGGGGTGGGGACGAAATAAGAGGGCAAATGCCCCGTCCTCCGTCAACGCTGCAACATTTTTCATTGATCCCACAGTAGAACAGTGCATTTTAGGCATAGAGCGCTGTAAAGTTATGACAATAGGGACTTTAAGATCCAACGACGCGACGGCAATGAGAACGTCGCTTAAAAAGTGAATTTGCGTTCTTTCATTCTTTATCGCAATAAAAAATTATTATTCCTACCCACTTACTTTGTCAAATGTAGGCGAACCCTCCTGGAGCTGAATTCCTAGGCACCGTGCACAAGTACAGAAAAAGAAATAAAATTTCGTCGCTGCTTGTTTACGTCCTCCATAAAACGCGAAATTAGGCATGTTTACGTCGTAGTCGTGCAAAAACAGGCAGAGAAATGTACAAAAAAGCGTGGTGCACGTGCAAAGTTATTGTTTTGCAAATAAAACCTATTGTTTTTTTGACGTTCTTGTTACCGTCCGCGTCGTTGGATCTTAAAGTCCCTAATGACAATGACAATGACAATGCTTTATTTGGAGTCTTATATACATCGACTTTATCCAGATAATTTAAAATCATAACACAAATTGCACAGTAGTGGAACTATAATCAATGTTAACCTAAAGAACTAATGATCTTCTTTTCTCATAGCAGTCGAATACGCATTTTGCAATTAACTTTTGCACTGGTTTGTTCTTGCTCGGAGGGTTTATCAACAACAGAAAAACATCATCTGGTGCCATTCTGTTTACTGATATTCTGTATTCTTTGTTTAAGTATTCAAATAAAGTACTTCTTTTTTCTTGATATGCAGGGCACAGAGTTAAAAAGTGTATTTCATCTTCTTCGTCTTTTTTACAGATAGGACAGATCCTCTCTTCTGGTTTCCTATAAGGTCTTAAAAGTTATATGCTTCTTTAAAGTTATATGTTTTGAATAACCAGGGGAGGGGGGGAGGGAGACTGGGCGCAGGTGGAATTGACTGATGCATTATTCTGGTACAAGGTTTTTGTCTACTGAAAATTAAAATTACTCAATTTCCTGATGGATTCCGTCTTAATTTATTGCACCGCATTGCAGCACGCGAGAATTTACCGCGCTTGGTTGCCATCAGTAATCTTTCCGAATTTATGGTAATGTCGTAGAAAGGGAGAAAACCATATCAAATTACGTTCACGTGCTGCATGATAATTTGACGATGTGCTAAACTCGAGACAATAGGAAATCCCAAAGCAAAAAATTATCCAAATCTATCACATCGCTTCAATATTTACTCAATTTTGCGCCTTCGCTTTAACCCTTTTCAATACTTAGTCTTCAGCTGATGCATTTGACACTTACGAAACGAGAAGGAAACTGGGCCGAGTTAATTTTCGCAAAGACTTCTGGGCCTGTTACTGGGGACAGGGAAAACAAATAGGCCACTTCCGAGTTCCCCCGGGCCTCTGTATCAAAACGACATTAAGTGCTCAACCTTTGTTACGGATTTTTCATTCTCATGCAAACAAAACTCATTTCCACAAGAAAGGTTGTGCACTTGGCGTCATTTTGAAAGTGAGAGTTTTTGGAACTCGGAAGTGGCCTATTGGCCAATAGCTGAATGGCGCGTCCCCAGTAACGATCCCAGACGTCTTTGCGAAAGGTAACTCCGCCCAGTTTCCTTCTCGTTTTTAAGAAGGCGAATATCAAAACGAGGTTAAGTGCTTTTCACAACAAAGGTTGTGCACTTGACCTCATTTTGAAACTGACGGTTTTTGGAATTCGGAAGTGGTCTATTCACATTAAGCCATTTGACCCCGTGAGGCTGAATTCAAATTCCTTCCCTGACCTTTCAGTCAGGTATTAAGGTCCTTACAGCTGATTAAATCAGTGCGTACAATTCAACCACATTCCTGCTGAATAATTATGAGTTTAAGAAGTACAATGAGAAAGAGAAATAACACAGCCCCGACGTATAACGATTTTTCCAGCCCCTTTTGCACCGAGTTATTTTAAAATTTCACTTTGCTAATTCCAATACATTCAAGATTCAAGGTTCATGAATTCACTGAATCAAGCATTATTTGAACTTTTTGCTTAGTTAGGAAAGGCAAATCCAAAGCTACTGGATAAAAACTAAACTATTAACAGGAAAGAACAAAAACAGTGTTTAATTATAAAGAATTTTATTTCAATTTGGATATCTGTCTAAAATAACAGTATTTTCTTAAATTAGATGGCGTTTCCACACGTTCTTATTAATGTTATTAGAGAGGTAAAGCATCACGTTTACGTCAAACGGCAAACCCGAATTTGTACCACATCACTAAGTTTCCTCTTAACTTGTCGCCTACTCTTCATTATTTCAACACATAAATTAGAAATTGCACGCAACTTTTTACCCATAAGAATTATTTTGAGCTGTTTTTATCTGCTCATTTCCTATTTTGAGAAATTCTCAACTTGAAACTTAATTAAATTCATGTGTGCTTCTATTGTTTTCAAAGCTTTAAGTGGTCTTTCGCCAAGTTACATGTAACTGTAAAGTAAAGTACATAACATCGATACGTGTGGAGCCAGGAGGACCTTGAAACGTCCGAAAACCAACACTAACTCCGGCAAACGTACTTTTGCCTTCCTCGCTTCTAGTGAATGGAACTTGCCACCGGATAGCGTTAAAACTTCAACATCGCTTTCCTCGTTCAAAAGAAACTATTTGAAGATGGCCTTCTCCAATCTCAAAGACGTCTGATTTTTTTTTAAAGCGACTCGTACATGATGTCCATAATTGGTCATTGTTATGCCGAGGCGCTTCTCTTGTATTCCCTTATTGATCAAATTTTATAATATTTATATTATGTATATAAATAAATATATTTTTTATTGGCATGCTTTTTTATCGTTCATTATTATTAGATTATAAGTGTTATTATTGTAATCATTTCCTTTTCTTTTCTTTTTTAATTTGAAGGGGCCCAGATAAAAAATTACTTGTGCAATTCTGGTTTCACCTTGGTTAAATAAACTCTTGTTGTTGTTGAATCTGACGTTTGCCCTTTGCCGTATACGTGATGCTTTAACTCTCTATTACATGAACGAAGGACGAGATTCAGAACTTGACGCTGTCAAAGTCATGTGATCCAACACTTTGCTGGAGATATTCCCGGTAGAGTCGCTCCTGTGATTGAAAATACAAAAGCCACATCAAAAGCTGCCTCTCTTTTCTTTTCAATGAAAGAAAAAAATGGATGGATAGATGGAAGGATAAACGAATGGATGAATGAATAGAAAAATTACAAAAATTACAAAACAAAGTGATATGGGGATAAGTATACCTTGTGTCCCTTGACGTATCCTTGAACGTACGATCTCTGTTCTAAAAGAACTTTTTTCTGTTTCCTTGTCAGGGTGGGTCTTAATCTGGAGGACAAGAGAGACACATCAAAAGAAAAGTACTCTCAGTCTTCTTGTATAAAAAGCAAGCCAGCTATCGTCCACACTGTCTGAAAGCCACGCTTGGAACGGGCCGTGTTGTGAAGGCGGCTAACAGCTATTAAAACACAAACTGGCGCTTTTTACAATAGTTTTTATTTTAGAATTGTACATATCGTCCAACACTCTTACTTCCAACTGTTTCTTCCAGAGTCAAGGTTAATAAAATCACGGAGAAAGAGTGTGCGGGCAGACGACAGACAGTCTTTTAAATCAGGGCCGTCATTAACGGCTGGGAGCCGTGGGTTTCCCCCAGCTATTATGAACGTGACTCCCCGCTACTTTTATGAGAAACAGAAGAAACGGAGAACCAGAAGAGATCCTTAGCTGTTTGATCCCCCACGTAATTGTCGTATTTACCCCGCAACTTGAAATCTCAGTGACAGCCCTGATGGCAATATATCTATTTCATTTTCAGGTAATGGGGCTTTGTTTGCAAGGTCAATATACGTTTCTGGGAAACTGCCTACCTACTCCTCCCCTAAGCCAAAATTTTTCCCTAAGTGAGAAGTAAGTGTTAATGTTGGCCTAGGGGAGGAGTAGGTCGGCAGTTTCCCAGAAACGTATAGTGATCCGAAACTTCCTACTAATTCCCTTTCAAATTTACACCTGAACGAATTGCCCATTGTGAGCCAGTTACCCTTAGTGCTAGTAGTCTAGATCAACTTTGGGAGGGATGTGTTCATAATTCACGAGTACAGAGAGTAAATCCGCGTTTTGTCTAAATAAACAGTAGCCTAAGAAAACAGCCGACATTTCGCGACGTCACCACTGGTTTCCCCGCGAAATGACGTCTGAGAAACGAGGGCAGATATTCCATACTGATGACGTGTCACTACTCAGATCTAGGTAGTACTGATTGGTCGAGCCGCGAGGGAAATGTGCTTCAACCAATCAGAAGCACTGCCCGGATCTGGGTAGTAACACGTCATCAGTATAGCATTTCAGCAGTCGTTCCTCAGACGTCATTTTACGGGAAAATCCGTGGTGGCGTCGAGAAATGTAGGCTGTTTTCTCAGGCTAAGGGACAAAACATGAATGGCCAGATGTTTACCTTGAGAACAGTTTGGCAACAATTAAAAGTACAAAGGAAAACACTAGCATTCCAATAAGGGCGTGGTTATGGTACTGTGTAGGAATAGACATCCACATCTTCTCAACAGGCGCCTAGCAATGCAAAATGAGAAAAGTTAGAAAAATGAAATATTAAACAAGGCGTCAATTCCAATAAAATTTATTCACTCCCCTCTTTAACCTTCCCACTGACATTTTGCCCAAGGGCGTCGGTTTTGAGGGGTGCCCCAATTAATCTTTAAAAATATCATTAACAAAACAAATATCATCAGTGAAACCGCCGCCAAACAGGGCTCAAAGTTTAAATTTGAGTTTAGGAGCACTTGTGCTACCAGGTGTAAATTTTTAGGCGCACTGCCGAAATTTTAGGCGCACAGCTGAAATTTTAGGAGCACAGCTTATAATGTTGGGAGCATCTATTCCAAAAGAAAAAGTAAAAAGCTTAACATGCCACGTTTATTTGTCATCTTCAGTTTATAAACTTTTACTTCAGTCCTGTGTTTGATAAAACACAGCCGATTTGCTACGCAGTAATACCGTTGTGATTTTTAAAACTAATTTTTCTTTTTGACAGTACAGTGGTGACTAAAGAAAACATACACTTGAAAACTGACAACAATGAGTGTGTCGAACGCGAATGAAAATTAATCTTTAATGAATCTGTTAAATGCGCAATGACTTACATGTAACTGGAATACGACTGAAAAAACTTTCTTACCTGGAAAACAAGGCTCTTAATCCGCACTGTTTCTGTTTTGATTGACGTTAAAACTTAGCGTTCGACATGATCGTCCGTTGCGCAAAAAGTACGTGTTTCGTTCGTAGCATAATTATATTTGCATGTGTCAGCGGTGTTTATTACAAAACACAAGAGTCTGGGATGGAGTAAAACATCGAAACGAAAAAGAACATTCGAGTTCGTAGAATCCATTGGGAGAAAAGACCAACTAAACATACACCGTCTTTCTAGTTCGAGTTCGTAAGTATAGTCGGAAGTAAGTCAGTCGCACTGTGCTTTGGGTTTTACGGCGCACAGGTGCGATTACACATGAATTTTTAGGCGCACAACCAAAAATCCAGTCGCATATGCAACCAGTTAGTCGCTAACTTTGAGCCCTGCCAAAAAGGTTTAACAGTGCCTTTAATTATTGGTCACGCCAAAGAATTTATGACCTCAGATGCACGTGTTCAGAACACACTTTAACACTGACTTGTTGAAAATAATATTGCCCTTACCGTATAAATATGGAGTTTTTCTGAAACATTTTTCCCAACAAAATTGTCCAAGGTTCCTTTAGCACTGCTGCTGGCAAGAAAGTTGACCAACAAGACAAAAGGAAGAAGGATACCCAAGAAACCAAAAAAAAGACCTCTGATTCTTGCACGAAGATTATGTGAACGTGCCTCTCTGGAAAAAAAAGTAAAAACCAACTTCACGCTTTCAGAAAACAGAACTTGACAAGTTAGTCGTTCCACCATGATAGCCTGCAGTGGCGATCCAGACCTACAGATAAGGTGGGGACCCGGTCATCCAGACCCTGAAATAAGGGGGGCGGCAGTCTCAAAAAAATGTTTTTCAGCCCTTCAGGTCTCAGTTTGGTCTAAAAATAAGGGGGGTGGGCCCCCTGGGGCCCTCCCCTGGATCCACCACTGGCCTGTTAATACATATCCATCTCTCCTTGCTCCTCCCCACTAAGGAGGTTTCACGGGAAAGACTTGTCTGCAATTCGGCCCATAAAATTCCATACTGATGACATAGATTTGTCTGGAATCTGGTCAATGAGCACTTATTGATCGATGTAGTTATTCTATTTTTTCAGCTGTTGTTTACAAATGACAGACAAATGGGTCACAAGGTCACAGAGATAACATTAATGCAAACTCCATGAATCTACCAAAAAACGGTCATTATTTGTGGATTATAGACCTCTTTACAACAAGCATTTAAGTTTTGCTGTTGCTCATTCACAGAAGAGCTCAAAACAACTCCTCAAACAAAATAATTTAGATGTGGAAACCCCATGACAACTACATTAATTAAGAAAACATTGATTCACGTCATCAACATGAAATTTTTGAGGCTGAATCACAGACCTCTCTCCCGCGAAACATCTTACACAACAAGGAACAGAGAGCAGTGGCTGTATTGAGGCTACCAAAAGAGTGAATACAGTGATAAAGTACGTCATATACTACTCACGAATCATTCCTTAGCTTTTCATCCACCAAGTCAGCAATTTTCTCACAGTCCTTTTCAAGCGTGTTAAGAGTATTTTGTATTGTCTGGTTGATTGTCTTCTCAATCTCCTTGCACACTTCTTCAATTTGATTAGCACATCTTGCAGGCTGTAAAGAAAAATTCTTTCAACATAGATATTCTGCGTGTATAACAGTGCTGTTGTAACATCCCTGCAAGAATAGTACTGAATTGTATATTAATGTGAAATTTGAGGCCTAAAAGGTGTTATCAAAAAGACTACAATGTAGACAACCTTAGACTGTTCACATTCCCATAATTTTTTGGTAAGATTGTTGAGATTGAGCGCTCACTGACATACTGTTGACCATCTAGTTTTCAAATCTACTAAGGGGACAGGCCGTGGGGTTTATAGCACTGGGTGGGAGGGTGCTTCTTGCCTTCCCAAAAACCATCCCCTGCCCTGCCGAGTAGATTTGACGTTGATTCTTAGGCTAGACTCGATACATTTGAAGTGTAAAAGTAGGTGCACAATTCCAACAATCTTATGAAAAAAAGAGGACCGTAACCAGACAAGATGAGAGTGTGGGATAGTCAAGTAGTACATGTACAGTGGAACCTCGCTATAATGATTTTCTTCACCCCAGTGGTATTGTAAGATATAATATGGAAGAGGACCTCAATATAACAAAACTTCATTATATCAAACAAATTTTGCCGGTCCCTTGGCCCTTCATTATATCGAGGTTCCACTGCACTACAGTGTGTGGTGACACACTAGTGAGTGCTGTTTATTCACTTTACATACCTTGTCCAGCAGTGTTGGAATAAAAATAGTTGGCATTTCAAATCCTGCTTTATTGAGTCCTGGTCTTTTACAGAGTTCCTGGGTTATCTGCATCAAAACTTTCTAAAAAAAAAACAGTAAAAGCACGGGTTCAGCATTAATTCTTCAGAGCATTAATTTTGTAACATTTGAGAGAAGTAGAGGCATGTTTATGGCAAATGGCAGACTCAAGTTGAGAATTTCTCAAAATAGAAAATGATCAGATAAAACATTGTGAAACTACTATTATTTTTTGTGGAACTAAAGAACAGTTAAAGTCAAGTGAATGGAAGAACTTGGTCACAGGGCACAAATTCATGTTTGCCATTTGCAATAAAAATGACTCTATATCTCTCCATTATCACCTGGGATTAAATTTTATTAATTTGTTTTTTCTTGAAGTTTTATCAAACCAAGGGTCAGTTCAATACACACATAAATAGACATTACATTTAAATGTGTGGAAAACAAAAAAACAAATCAAAACAAATACAAGTCTTACCACACTGTGTACCAATGTAAACGGTATTTGAGTGTGCATTTTTTCACTACAAGTGGTTTTTGTTTTCATTCTATGCTCTTCTTGTGGACGTATTAATAATTCCAACAGACGAGCAAAGGAGTCTACAGGGAGATGAAACTTCTTCCAGAACAATTGATTTTTAATGTTTTGTCACTAGAGTGTAGTTCTTGTAATTAATGTTTCCACAAACCCGCAACTGTGCTATTATAGCCTTCGATAAGCTGTTCACAGTCCCCTATTTTCCCGTAACACTGTCAAGATTACGCACTTATGCCTTCGCATCACTGACAGGCAGCCATCTTGTTTTCAAAATGTATCACTACACACCAATCCCCAGGCTGGACTGGGAACATTTTGAAACAAAGATTTCCGCACATAATACAAAGTGCTCAATCCCAACAATCTTACGGACTGTCAACAGTCTTGCCTTTGATAAACTATGTGGTCTAACTCATTGAAGAAGTATTCAAATACAAAAATGTACCTGTCTGTCACTTTCATGCCCTGCTGAATCAGCTTTGCTCAGAAAAAACCTGATTCGGTCAGCGTGTCTCTCATTTAGTTTCTCTGCATGGAAGAATGAACAAAAAGGGTCAGAAGTCAACTACAAATAAATAGACATCACTTATCGTCCGAAGTTATTGATGCATTAATGCAATATTACAATATTCAAATAATTATTCTAATCTGAACTGTATGGTGTTTAATTCCATGGACCAGACACCAGTTGTTCAAAAGGTAGATAACGCTATCCTCTGAATAAATCTATCCAGACAGTTGATTTCACTATAATACTTATCTCTTGAAAAAGCTACACTTACCAACTAAATTTAGAGTCCGTTTACACAGTGCTTGTCCAATAGGATCAAAGAAGACAAAGATAAGATCAGCCAGATTACCTGGAAATAAAACAGATGACTATTAGCTAAGGGTATAATATTACCTAGTAGTAATTTCAGAGTACAGATGATCATTTTGGTTAATTCTCACTACCTTTTCCCTTAAGAATGTATTGACATGGTTAGGAGAAAATTGATGTTGGTCACTCTTGGCTTAGGCCCTGTTTACATGGAGGCAGGGGACCCCAAGTAGGTGAGGTAATGTGCCTACCGTGTGGCACAAAACTTTTGCGGGAGTTTATTTTTGTGGATCGGCAATATTTGTATTTTGCGGGAAAAAATTTTTGTGGTTAGGACAGATTGGTTTTTCTTACTCGGAATGAATTTTTGCAATTTTCAGAAAGTAAAAGTACCTAGCATTGGTAATGTTTTCGTTTCTATTGTGTACATGCAATAGAAATACAGATTTTCAAGCAATCCTACGGTGTGCATACCCTATGCATCCACCATTGTATACCCCTTTGTTTCTGAACGAAAGACACAAGTTGTAATTGAACAGACACGATTTCTTACTACTGTATTTTTGTGTAGAAAATTTAAGTTTTCTCTGGAGTAAATTATTGCGGGAAAAATGTTTGCAGTAATTTTTATTTGTGGGAACTTATTGTTGCGGATCGCTGGAAAAACCGCAAAAATTAGAACCCGCAAAAATTTGTGCCACACAGTAAGTGGGGTAACCCTGTCCATGTAATCTCTCATTTTAATTTGATCACGTTTACATGAAAGGTGTGGTGACCTGCCACATGATACCTCAGCTATCTGGGGTCCCCCACCTCCATGTAAACAATTTACTCACCCAACCAAAGAATAGAATCATCCACATCAAATGCATATTTCATATCTCCATCAACAAGCCCCGGCGTGTCAACAAATGTCACCAAACTGAACTTTTTTTGCTTTGATGTTGAAATTTCAGTTGTCAAGTAGTCAACAACACCTACAAAGGTAGCATAAATAAATAACATTAACATACAGTAGCATATAAATTAAAAATAAAGGGGATTTGTCAAAAGAATAGCACCAGATTAACACGAGTCATATGTAGCTATATCATTGTACAATTTTGGAATGCATTAATGTAAGTATCCTCAAAAATACTTCAAAAAGCCCTTTGCAACAAATATTGTGAATACAAACTGTATAAACAACCCACTACATGGCTGCTACAAGAGAAAAAACAACATTTTTTCTTTTCATTTACATTTATTTATCATTCAAATATTGAGAATTTTAACGAAATGGTAACAAGATTGTTTTTCCAAGTTACACAAACATGTATTCTAACAGCCAAGTTTAGCCCAGCTTAAACATACATGTATACCAGCAGCAGATACAATTTTATTACAAGAAATTATCATTCCCTACCTTTGAGATCTTGTAATGATTTGAAATGCGGGTAAAGATGTAATGTAGCATTTCCCTGTTAGAAATTGATAAAATTAAGATACCATAAAGTTCCCAAAGTAACAACCCCCCAAAAGTAGAAACTCTTCAAAAGTAGTGATAAAATTTCACAGGTGTTAACAAATGCCAAAAGCAGTGACCTTCCGAAAATAACAACCCTACAGACGTAGCGTCTTCAAAAGTGATTTCCCTTCTTGCTACAATGGAAATGAATGTGTACAACAACCTTACCAAACTGATCCGAGATTTATTTTTTAATGGTTATAATGATCTTTGACAGCCTTTATGTAACTCAAAAGGTACATCACATCTTTTTTTTGGTCAAAAAGTCTTCCTTTGATCTGTGAAAACCAACACCGTAATCAAACAATTCTTTTGAATATAGTTTTATTTAAAAAGCAATAGCATGTAATATGTTTGGACCCCAATTTAAAAGTGTGGATGTTTTTACAATCGTCACGATATTAACTTATATGATACAAGTTTTAACTGCTCGAAAGTAGCAACCTTCTGAAAGTAGCGACCTTCCGAAAGAAGTGATAGGAAAAGGCTGTTAAGTCCGAAAGTAACGCCGGGTTGTTACTTTCGGAACCTTACGGTAAATTTACAAAATAAGGTCATATTATTGCTCACACTTTGTTCAACCAACTTAAATCATCTCTTTCAGGCCCTTCGTTTAGTAACTATGTGAAAGAATTTCTTTAATTTTTAATCAACTACAAAAATTTAGTAGTAAGGTGCTTGTATGTGTATTGAAATAAGGGAATAATTTCACGCGCATTTTGTCCATATTATTCTACTAATTATTTCCCGAGCCTTAAGGCAAGGAAAATTATTAGAATTTGGACAAATTTCACCAGTAAACCATTTTGATTACCTGTTAATATCATGGATGGCAAATTACGTTCACAATCATAGGTTTTTGACATTTTATCAAACTAATTATCGATCGAAAACTTTAGCACTTTGCTGCCATCTTGGAACTGAGATGTATGGAACTTTGACACTTCACAAGTGAAATTTTGTTCCAAAATATTAATGGGAAAATTCCTATCTTATGGAGAGGCAACTAAACATAGGAGTAAAAAATGGCAGGACTAACTCTAGATGACCATTTTAGCCACGTGTCTGTATTTTAGAGTTGATTGTACTATGTACAGCTAAGTATTTTAAAACATTTCTTTTCTTTGGGCCTACACAATCACTACTAATCTACACTACACTATCAGTCTTACCGTCAAAGATTCTCGCTTCTTTCCACTGGTGACAAAAGTAAATCCTTGAGTTTCAATAGCAACCCCAGTCTTCTGCACATGTTCTTCCACATACCTGTTAAACAAAGCATCAGAGCTACATTAACTCTTTAAGCCCTAGGAGTGATCTGCGTCAAATTTCTCCTTGTAATATCACTACTTTATAAAACAGAGTGGTCATGAGAATTAAGGACATGATCTCAAAAGATGAATCTAATTGATACTTGAACAAATTCTCCCCACTAAAAGGGTTAATCAATGTCACAGCCTATTTTCAAACTACTCCTCAGGTGTTTGCATTTTAGATAGAAATGACTGTGTTTCATTTTTGCATGACACCGTACCTCTGGGTAACCTGTGATAAGAAACAGATCTTCGACCTTCTTTAAAGAAAATCGAAGGGTCACAGCTGGCAACAGCTGTAGGATTAAAATTTAATTTGCTGGGTAATATGTTGTTAATGCGGTTTCTCCAACGCTTCACTCTAAAATAAATATTGTCCATGGCTAATACTTTGGACAAATAAAAACTCAATAAGCTAATCTACTGTTGCAGTATGCGGCTTACCAGTTTATAAATGAACTTTTCCCAGCAGAATGGTTTCCAAGTAGTAAAATTGTGATCTTTTTTCTTGGAGCAAGTAAATTTAATCCCAGACCACTTGCAATAGTGATAAGACCTAAATATTACAAGATTTTCAACGATCAAAGAACATATAAAACAAGGTAAAAATTGTGAGAGTTCCAAAATCCACGTCACACGAGTAAACAGAGAGCAGTTTTTAAAATACCTTTCTCCTTCTCTATATACAAATCGTGGCATTCCTTGAGAATTTTCTCATTCAAGGACACTGTTGATGTGTCGGGGGCATTAGCTGATGCCCTCTGTCGAGCGGAAGGCATTTTCTATAACAGAAAAAACGGAGGAATCTGCGATTTCTTGTAGAAATGCTTACACAATTTTGCAAAAAGTACCGCTCACCGATCGAACTGCATCATGGGTTATGTGACCCCGCTGACCGGTATCGGACACACACTCTCGTCTCAAGCTGTACACTACTCAGCGCGTTACGGGAAAAAGTAATGAAGAGGTGAAATAGATCTTACAAAAACTAAGTCAGGTATTGGTTAGTCCTCCCCACGTCGTCTTACCTCCTATTCAGGCATACCCGCTGTGATGACGCGGGTGACTTGCATGTCTTCCAACCAATAATCAAACCCCATAAAATGGGCAGTCACCATTCCGTCCCCAGGACTTTTCCCTTATGACCCCTTCGACCCTTCCTCCAATTTTCTAGGGGAAATGTTCAGTTTCCTTAGAAAAGAGTACGAGGTTGCAAAATGGGCAGTCACCACCTCGTCCCCAGGGTTTCTGCAATAAAAAATGGGAGCATTCCATCTGCTTGCGCCACTCACTTTTCAGAATATGTGAGTTTGCGCGCGCTCTTTAACAGTCGTTGTCCTTACCGAAAAACGAGTTCTAAAATGCTTATCTTGTGACTTCTACTGCAGCTATTCTTAAAATGGCAAGGCTACTCCAAACACACCAAGGGGTTCATTAAAAGTCCTCTCCTCTGTACAGTGTATTCTGCGACGCCTTTTTGTTTTCATCTCAGACTGTCTTCAGCTCTAATGGAAACTCTGCGAATGACGCACTGGGGTGCTGTGTTAACGTCCGCAGCGCCGGGAATTAAGGAGCGCCCGCCTCCTTCAAAAGTGGGACCTACTAGCCGCTTGGACCAGTACAGACTCTTGTCCGAAATCAAACTTCCACGGAATGAAAAGAATGACGATATTGAACAAAAAAATGTACACCCGAATGCTCGTACGAAAGGTACAGTTAAAAAAAATGTTTTTTCCCACGTACCAAAAAAAGTGCGTCAATGTCCTTGATAGGATATCAAGACAGCGTCAGTTATTAATTAAGAAAATGACGTTTATAACGCAAAGAAAGTAACAAAAAAACGGAGTTTATTAATTTAATAGTACCAAACTAAAGTGATTCCGTTAATATTTGAGCGCGCGCTCATGACACGCACTCATGACGAGACATTGTAGAACAGAAGCATCACTATGGTAACTGAAAGTGTTTATTCTCTAGTTGAGAGTTGTCACAAAACTGAGTTGCACTTTTGCGAAAGTTAAGCTAAGTTTTTCTTGTGCGGAATTTTAATAGATAGGTAAGTAACTATTTAGGAAGCCGCGGTAAGATTATTTTGATCTGAATATTTAATAGTATTGTCGGAAAAAAGAAAAAAAAAAGGGAAAAAAAAGTTTTCGCTTTTTTTGCGCGTCCAGGAAGTGTTCGATAAGCCCATCCTGTTGCATATTTTTACCCTTTTCGCCTTTTTTTCAACATTTTTTTGTTAAATAACATTTAAAATGATTCTTTTTACATTAGTTGTGGTAAGTCTTAGAAGTGATAAAAGTTATTTTCTAATTTTTGGTATTTTCTCTTGTATTCTCTTTTAGCGAAAACATGGCATCGTGGAACCCTTTTGGTCAAAGTTACAGTATCTTTCCCCATCAGACTGGTAAGAACTCTTGCATTTTTATAACAGAGGCAGAAAATTTTCTTTTCTTTCTAAATTTTTTTCGTTTGGCGATACGAATTTTTCTTCCAGTTCGAAGTTTTTTTTCTTTACGAATTGGCAGATCGGTACTCGGTAGTCAGTTTAGTCTAAGCTCATTGTTTTATACGTACATGTGTCGGTGTGTCTTGGCCTCTATACAACAGCCACCTTCCCTCAAACAGAATCTTTTCCTGATTCGGAGAGAGGGAAGCTTGGAACAAGTGAAGTTTGTCTTTTAGTTTACCAATTTAGATCTAGAGTTGGGAAAAACTCAGACATTATTTTAAAAATTCTAATGTAGAAAAACTGTATTTTATTCTTCAATAAAGCTTCTAATGATGATGATGGTGATTCTTGGAAGATTGAGTTGCCCGGCGGAGGATTTATTCAGAAACCTGGGAGCGAGTTAAATCCATTTACTGATGAGCCCCAAATGGCGAATGAGGACTTTGAGTCACCCGAGGTAAGCATGCCAGGAACGTTCTTTTCTACCTCTAGGGTCACCAGTAGGTTTTTCGGGAAGCGGCATAGCCCTTTTTGAAGGAGGGGATCCGAGATTTTAAAGCAAAACGAAGGCGTGATTTGAGATGAAAAATATGCTCTGGACGGACACGGAATGCCTAAAATAACAATAGGATTGAGCGAAAATTTGGGTCGGGATGTCTTCATTAAAGAACCTTAAGACCCTTTGCAGTCAAGTCTCTCTTAACGGACACCTCTATAAGACGGACACCTCGCTAAAACGAAAACCAACAGTGTCGGAGCCAGAACTTTAGATAAGTTGGGCGGGGTCATCCAGACCCTGAGATAAGAGGGGGCCGGTCTCAAAAAGTTTCTTTTCGGCCCTTCGGGCCTCGGTTTGGTCTAAAATTAAGTGGGAGCCGAGCCTCATATCTTAAAATAAAACTTTGTTAAAACTTAAATTGTCTAAAAATAACTTTGGTGAAATTCACAGATCCCAAGGGGCTGGACTGGACGTTTTCCTCTTTGTCTCATTATTCCCTATTGATTTCATCCTTTCGATTCCTTCCTGACTCCTTCCTGACTGATAACTGTTTTACAGGAAAGAGAGGCTCTAATGGCAGAGCTGGACGAACTGTTGGAAGAGCGAGCAACGAAGGAGAAAACCCTTCGCGAACTGCAGGACAAAGAAGTTACCTTAAGAAGGGACCTTAACGATTTAAACAGAGAACTAGATTTACAATCTTCAGAGCTCCACACACTCATGGAAACCGTGTGCGCGAAAAGAACTGCGATGGAAAAGAGGATTAGAGAAAAGCAAAAACGCGTGGAGGAGCTCCGAGAAGAATTCTCCGTTGTCGTGAGAGATGAACGGCGAAATGCCAGCTACAGGATAATAGCGAATGAGAGCCGCTTCCTGAAAAGGAGAATTTCCCAGCAGAAAGAAGTGAGGAATTCTCTTCGAAAGCAGGTGGACGAAATTCGCGATCATAAGAAAATGGTGAAGATAAGATGCAAAATGATGGTTAGCGAAGAGCGAGCATTGTGGATGAGCATCAGCGAGAGAGTGAAGAGGATGGCTGAAAATGATCACCCACTTGATGTTGGACACACTATGGTTAGTACAACAGCTTTGATAATAATATTATTAGTTATAATAATATTGCTGATAGTGATAACGATAATGATAATGACAATAATGGTGATGATGATGATGATGATGATGATGATGATGATGATGATGATGATGATAACTGGAGGGAATAATGATATTTATCCAGGGAGCCAACTCGCCTATAATTAGTTTTCGGTGGGGCTCTGCAAATAATCGACGACAACATGAATGAAATACATGCCTATCACCAATCTATAAATGAAAAACTAAAGAGGTACTTTTTTGGGCTGGGGGACTTACGATAGTAGAATGAAGGTACAACTTAGAAAACTCCGGGGGTCGTTCTACTTTGCTTTTAAGTTCATTAGCAAGAATTGTACGCGGACCAAATAGTTTAATTAAATAGCTGATCAGTGTACGAGAATCAAACAAACAATCACAATGTATTAAACTCCTCAAAAACCGGACAACAAGAAACACTTGTGAAGGGAGAGTAAGTCGTTTTAAGAAAACGCCATGAACAGTACTATCACACCTGCACTGTTAATACACTTGAACCTCTCCGGCCACCTTGGGGACAGAAGAAAGTAGCTGTTGTGGAGAGGTGACCGTGGTAGAGAGACTGTACAAGAGCCAATGTATGGACGACTGTCCGCCAAAAAAAGTGGCAGTTGTAGAGAGGTGGCAGTTGGAGTGGAGGTTCGACTGAATTTCAACCGTACCGTTGTTAGTGTCTCATTTATACAAAAAGACTGGATAAGGACCTACGTGAATACCATTGCAGGGCTGGCTGTGCTCTAGAAAGCCCAGAGGCTTCTGTTTACAACATTTTGCTCCCTTGCATCATTGCGCATAGTACTGTGAAAGCTACACAATGTCTTATGAGTAGGTTTCGTTCCAATATTGAGTTTGTTTAGCTATGCCAACGTCATACAGTCGAACCTTCACAAACGGCCACCTTTCTACTGAAACGGCCTCTATTTTTTGGCGGACAGTCCAAGTATTGACTCTTCTACACTACTCTCTCTACAACGACCACCCCCCTATAACAGCTATTTCTTCTGGCCCAAGGTGACCGTTGTACAAAGGCTCAACTGTATTGACTCACAAATTCCCAGACGTTTCATCGACACCGCCGCCCCACTGATGAATTTTTTCCTAGTTACAAAGCCAACTTCGCCTGATGGGCACCTTTGTCAAGTAATGTGAACAAAATTTAGATGTGATAATTCCTTGTCTTTATAGGCTGGCAGTACCAGCACAAAGGGCGAAAAATCAAACGAGGGGAGTTCTTCCAACACCTCGAACCTCAACGGAGCCAACAAAGAGGAGACTGTAGGTGATTCAAATACAGGTAAATCTAGAGATTTACGTGGGACCGTAGAACGTTTTGCGTTTATATTTTTTATTTCAATTGGTTTATATTGCACGCATACTGATTCAAAGCTGGAAAAGTTAACGTTCTTGTTCATTTGTTCAGGAGATGGAACCAAGACACCTAGCAACACTAGTTCCCAATCCGCAGCAACTTGCGTGGAAATAACCAAACCTGAAGTAAGTAATCATTTCGCTTTTTCTACGTAATTTTTTGCCTATAAGTAGAATGCTTCAAAATCCAATTGCTCAAAGCCATTCTTTTGTATCTTTTTAGCAAAGTCTTTTTACCTCCCTAGGTGATCCACATTAGTTATGGCATTCACGGACTAATGCACAGTAACCGCCCCATAAGAGAGAGCAATATTGGCCAATATTTTCTCCATGGGATGTACGCCCCTTTGTACAGCTACTTTCTTATGCTCATAGCAGAGAAAATGCCATTATTTTGCTTCACTCTGATGATAAATAAGAATAGCAACGATCGAATTCACATGCAAACGTTTGCCAAAACGTTTTTAAGTCATGTGCGGTTAATTGACGTAAGGTAACTTGTTTGCATACCAATCAATTATTTTTCTTTTCTTTATAGGCCAGAAGCTGTTCCGAAATTAAAGCAGAAATTTCTCCTACGAAAACTGAGCAGTCCGCACAGACGAGTTCTTCATCAAGTGCTAGAGATCAGACAAATCCTAAAGGAAGCGTCAAAGAGGAACTTGATGATACTAAACTTAGAGGCAAACATGGTATTGTTTTTACTGTGATTCAGTTAGTATTGTATTTCCTTAATTAAGCGCCCGCGAATAACGGCTAGAAAGGGGGTGCTTATTGGAAGGAGGGCGTTTAATCAAAAGGGGCGCTTGTTTAATTTTCATTTGACCGAAGTGTATCTTTGTTTCGGAAAATTAATAGTTTTTCGTTGGCTTAAACAGTGGTTGTAATTAAGTGTAAAGTAGTCCCATCAAACACCTCATTCTGACAAACGTATCGGACGGGGATACATGTTGACAAAATATTATCTCATCATCATCGAGATCATCCTCGTTAATGATATGCAAATCTTCGCCTTCCCCTTGTATCCCTACCATTTAAGAAAGTGATGGGAAGGGAGGGTGGGGTGCTTGTTTGACACCCGTAACACAGCCCGTTTAATGCTGGACCCAAGTGCCCAGTGCAGTGGCTGTCCAGGGGATGGGGCCTGGTTCCCCTTATTTTTGGACCAAACTGAGGCCCGAAGGGCGGAAAATTTTTTTTTAAAGACCGGCCCCTTCTTTTCTCAGGGTCTAGATGACCCCCACCCCCCACCCCGCTTATCTGAAGGCCTGGATCCGCCACTGCAGTGTCGAAGTAAGAAAGTCTCACAAACCCACCAAGACCTAGAAAAAGATTTCTGTTCATTCTTTTTAGCGCTTTCACGTTGGCGAGAGAGTAGGGAACTTAAGCAACGACGACGGCAACGTCAACGAGAAAGGCAAAAAAAGCAATCGGTTTAGACTGGCAAAACAACAGCCCTGCACGTGAATCACGCTGTTGTGTACGTTCTTTGCCGTCCGAAAAACCTAATTTCACGTCTTTTGGAGGACGGGAACTCAAGACAACGCCACTTTCTTTTTCTTTTCCTGAACTTCTATTCAGTCTTTTGGAATTCAACTCCAGAGAAAATTGTCAACATTTGATCAATTAAACAAGATGAAATAAGCGCGAAAAAAATTGAAGCAGCGCGGCTTCCCTTTTTAACTATTATGGCCTAACGGGTGGAGCGCTTATTCGAGGGAGGCCGTTTATTAGAGCGTGGGCGCTTATTCAAGGAAATACCTAGCTAGTCTTTTCTACAGTTGTTACACATGATTTTTTCCTTCAAGACAGTGAGACCTAGTGTGCTAAATAAAAATGCTTGCGTGGGATCATTTTGCAACGGTGCTGAGGAACGTTTATTTTGTTCTAGACTACCAGGAAGGCCTACTGTACCGTGAATCTTTGCGGATGGATTTACCCGGAGGGCCCTGGACAGAGTCGTGTTCAACAACAAGTGCGAGCAGCAGTGAGTCTGAGGACGGTGGTAAACAAGTAAGATGACTGAAAGAAAACTTCTTGTCATTATCAAACTTTAAATTACAATTGCGCAGTGTCACCACGGTATTGCTGAATAAGGTCAATTTTGTGCTGAAAACAGTCATTACTTAGGGCCTTAACAATAGTCCTGTAGGGTTAAGCTCCGAGCAAACAGACGCAACACTGTTAGCCAACAACCCCAACATTGTTGGATGTTACATGTTGCGTCCGTTTGCACACGCTGTTGCATGTTGTTGCGTGTTGTCGATAGTTGCTGCCGAAGTTTGAAACTGGTCGAACTTTTATGCCACTTGCAAACGGACGCAACAATGTTGCGTTATGAAGTTATGAATTTCATCGTCGAGCACTAACTACAATAACTTTTTGCGCGATTTTTGCTGGTCAAATTTGAAGGCATAGCATTAAAAATTGAAATAGTTGGTTTCAATCCATGTCCATCCTTGCCATCCTTTGCAACAGACGACAGGAAACAAATTCAATACCTAAATATAGCCTTGAAAAACAAAACTAAACCATTATTGTGGAATCTAACTGACGATAAAAAAGTTTAGCTTTTTAAAAACATAGCAATCAGCGTGTCATAGCCCCTTTAAGTCAACTACAGATCGGAGCTACCTCGTCTCCAGGGTCTTCTCTTTTTCAGATCCTAGGCATGATCCTGGGAGCTACTTAAGCTACGTGTAAACGGACGCAAAAATTTCAAACATTGTTGGCTCAACAATGTTCAAAGTTGTTGCGTCCGTTTACACGTAGCTTTACGTTTGACAGCAGTTTCAAACTTTGTGCAACAACTCCCAACAACATGCACCAGGGTGTGCAAACGGACGGCGCAACACGTAACATACAACAATGTTGGGAGTTCTTTGCCGACAACGTTGCGTCCGTTTGCAAGGGTCTTTACTTGTCAAATTCAAAATGAGATAAGGCGCCTCAAAGTAGTTTACACCAGCTAAGGTAGCTTTAAATAGCGTTGCCATTGTAAAATAACGCTATACAAGAGACAGAAAGCTCTAAGGAATAGACAGCAGCTAACCCACACTGTTTCTGCGACATCAACTAAAACCCAAAACATATATATGATCTGGCCCAGTGTTAATTGCACCCGCTAAACAAACCCTATAATTTGTATTGCAGATTACTGTGAAAGTTGACGTCCATCGTCCATTTAAAAAGAGAAAAATTACACTTGGCTTCTTAAAGCAACTACCCTTACAACGACAACAGACTACTGAAGAAGCGGAGAAAATCGAGGTTGCTCCGGTAAAAGAAACTTACAGAGCTTGCAATGTCAAAGAAAGCCGCCAAAAGGTACTGTATAATATAAATTCTAAATTTTTACTCCCCTACAGTTAGATCTCACTAAAGAGGCATTTTATGTGTTTTCTTTCAGGGAGGATTCTTTGGCAGGCTCTGGCGAAGACTAAAGAAGAGTTCTAACATGAAATGATTTATTTTAATTTAATTTTTTTTTTATATTTTCAAGTTATTTTATTCTTAGTCAACTATTTGCTTGGGCCCGTTTGAAAATCGATCTTTAATCGTTTTAATCTCTTTTGTCACTTTCGTTTTTTCTAATATGAAGATGAAATGATTTTCGTTCACTCTGTACTACTCTACTTTCACTCCTACTTCGGTGAGGACACTCTCTCTTGACATCAGGGGTTTTTACATTCTCGCACGCGACTGTAAATCTTAGGGGTCGGTCGCAGGCCGAGTCAACTTTGAGCGAAGCCTGAAGCCATGAACGATATTGAGATGTGCGTCACTGGAGTAAAATAGAAAGACAGAGTAGTAGTCAGGTTTCGATTATGTCAAAAAGTAACACTTTTTTTTTATATTGGTTCGTAACGCCTGGGAAGTTAGGCCTGGTTCAGACGCCGTTCCACTCATGCGCCGAACCTAACTGACGAATTAGGTACGGCAAAAAAGCGGCGTCTGAATCAATTTGGTACGCAGTTTTAGTCAGGTGCGACAAAAGCGTTTGGTGCTCTGTCGAACTTTTGCCGAACTTAACTTAGGCTAGACACACGGTGCGCCGTCTACTGAATCAGATGTCGCGCCAGTGACGCTCCAAAGTCGAACTTATTCAATTAGGTTCGGCACATGAAAAGTACGGCGTCCGAGCCAGGCCTAGCCAATGTAGTAGTATTTTTTTGTCAAAACTTATGAAACACTATTTTCCCGCCCTTGCGCCAGTTTCAACAATTTATTTATTAACAAAAAATAATTAATTAATTTTAAGTAGTATTAGTTAAATAAAAAATGAAACCCTATAAATTGTGCAAGTTTTCATTAAATTACATTTTAAAAGATTATCTACTAAATGAAATACAATCTTGATTTAAGTCTGAATAAACAGAAGAATTAACAGATCTAAATTACACGTCCAAGAGTGCATCAATCGCCGCTTCGGTTGCGTAACAAAGGGTTCTGTATGTAATAAAGATACTTATAGCGGTTTTATTAAGCACTTTTTGATCTTCTGACCAGAAAGCCGTATTCTCTTAGCACAGAATCCTTTGTTCCCACACCTCCGGCCAAAACAATCCGCGACACAAACGGGGGGGGCAAGACTGTGGAACAATTAAAATGCATGACCAAAGCGTTTCGGGTCACGTGGACCGGTCACGCCCTTTCGTCTCGGCCACGTCACCGAAGTGAATTGACCAAGAATACCTGGGAAAACGCCGTAAAGGGACCAGGCAAGGGAAGTTTGTTTTCCACCTTTTAGTGCGAGCAGCAGTGAGTCTAAGGACGTGGGTAAACCAGTAAGATGACTGGAATAAAACTTCATGTCATAATCAAACTTTAAATTACATTTGCGTATCTTGCTGTTCAGTCAACTAAAGACCATGGCCTCCAAATGGTTTATGCCTATGGCAGATGAAATTAGGTTTGTGGTGGTTGCCATTATTGGAAATTCTCTATTACGCCCCCCTCTATGATAAGTCCCCCCTTTTCATGGGAAGAAATTTATCCCCCCCCCCCCCCTTAATCAAGTTCCCCTCTCCTCCCCCCATATTCTTTAATAACAGACTAAATCAATTAATCATGACTAGCACTGTATTTGGACTAATCTGGTTTGTTTTATTCTTGTGCTGGATTTTCATCAGGGGCCGCATGGAATCATTGGGTGATGACGACAATTCTATTTTTCACCTCGCAAATAGGAGATGGTTTGGAATGGGTGACGTAAAACATAAAATCCCAGAAGGGATCACTTACGTAGATTTTATGACACTTCAGTCAAACCTCAATACTCTTTTTGTTTTATTAGTGACCCAAAAGAGACTTGCTAAGTGTGGATGAAGTCATAAGGTGCATATAACTGGGTAGATTTAAACGCTTGGAGAGTTTGCTATACATGAGTTTATTATTCACAAATCTTTGATTAGAAACAATTTTCCAGACACTCTTTCTCTCTCTTTGGAGAAATAAGACCCAGTCCACAAATAAGCAACAGCGAAACAACGGCTAGCTTATCTATCCACTTTCAGGGCTGTCACTAAGGATTTGGGGCTAGAGATTTCCCCTCGGCAAACTACTTTGCAGTGGTGGATCCAGGGAAGGGGCCTGGACCCTCCTTATTTTCAGAGTAAACTGAGGCACAAAGGGCCGAAAAAAAAAAAATTAGACCGGGCTGCCCACTTGTCTCAGGTTCTGGTAAACCACTCCCAAATCCCCCCTCCCCACCCCCTCATCTGAAGGTCTGGATCTGCCACTGCTATGAGCATGGTTCCTGGCTACTATAGGACCAAACATATTCCTAACCTTTCTGCTCCCCACCTACTAATTACGTATACATATAACCTGGAAAACTTGCAATCTTGGTAACAGATCTGTCACTTACAAAGCTACTTTCTTTGAAAGAGACATTTGCAACAAGATGGTAAAGGTCCCGAAAAATTGTATTTCCAAAACTATGTACACCAGCGCATGTACAGTTTGAGTATTATTAGAGAGATCTAGACTTACATTTCGTGCAAATGTATCATGTGACTAAAAATAATTCTCTTTCCTGGTCATTATTTTTGCATAAAAATAAGTTGTTTTATGCCACTTTATCCTTAATTAAAAACTTTTTCGGACAATTTTTATCTTCTCACTTCCCAATTTGATAAATTGTCAAATTGGGTCTGATGTTGATGCCATTTGCTGTAAATGAGATTCCAAATCTCTCTATCGACAGAGAATTCAATACTAAGATTTGCTGGGTATGAAACATGGCTAAGGTTCAATATCAGTGGTTGTTAATAGAGTTTTAGGTGACCTGTTACCTGATCCACCTTATCAACAGGACCTGTATGTAAAAAAATGAACAGACAACTTTAGTTAGAGCACTTCTAAAGTTGGTGACTGGATGTTCAAGTTAGCCCTGCTCTGTAATAGATAACGAAAGGTTAGAGGTAGTGATCAAAAAGTCCATTAAATGAAATTAAATAATTACCAGGTCCTACACCAAGCACAGTCTTTGATCCAGGTGCTATTTGTGTCCTTCCTGCATCTCTTATGAGGCACACCTCCAAGCCTATAGATCGGCCTTTCCTGGCAAGTTCAACCCTACAATGAACAAAAAACAACAATCTCGTGACTATGCAATTAACAGGGTTCCTACAAGTTTTCAGGGCAAAAATTCAAGGACTTTTTTTAGTAAGAATTTACCACAAACCAAGCAAAATATTTGTGTTTAAACCTATGTTTTGGGCATATACTTTAAAACCTTAAAGCATTAATATTTTTTGATCTTCTTCAATAAAAAATCAAGGACTTTCAAAGACCAAAAATCAATTTCAAGTACTTTCAAGGCCTTAAAATCGGACTTCTGAAATTCAAGGGTATTCAAGGGTTTTAAAGACATGTACGAACCCTGAATTAATGTATTTCGGAAATAAGTTGAACTCAAGTTTGTCTCCATTTTCTGATTTGGATTAAAAATGACATTGGGTGTGTCTTAAAATGACATAACCACTGCTTCTAGTGAATTATAGTTAGGTGGGGGTTGGGGTATAAAAATACATACAGATCTAGACCATTTCTACTTTTTGTTACTTACAGAGATGCTTCATCTGGGGCTTTAACCACTACTTTAGCACATGCTGTTGACTCCCACTGATGTAAAAGCTTTTAAATAGAAAGAAACAGAAGCTGTTAGTGGTCGCTTAGTGAGCTTATACATCAGATTGCATAAAACAATAAACTAAACTATTCTTCGGTTCACATTTCTCTACCTTTGGATTACTTCTTTCAAGTTGCTTACAAAGACCAACAGCTGCATGACAACACTATAAAATAGAAATAAGAACAGGAAACTTAGTTGTTAAATGATGACAGGAGAGTAAAGGACAAAGATGATCTCTTTCCTTGCAATCACCAAGAGTTGATTATTGATTATTTTTATTCTTGGAATTTAGGGATATCCAGATGATGAAATAAAAACTAGCCTATGTATAGCTTTCAGTTCTTCTAAGATAAAGTCCTGAAATCACTCCAATCATTTGGATCACCTTACACATCATCAGAGATGTTTCTGTTTTGATTCAATTTTATCCTTAGTTTAAATTTCATTTTCTGTTGTTTCAGTCTCATTATCTTACCAAGGCACTAACTTTTGCTACCTGGTGACTAGAAAATCTTATTCATAGAAACCATATGCTAGGCACCTTGGATTGCACAGGTTCAGAGCACTGGGCTCCTTTCAAGTTTCATTAGGACACAGCCTTTTGTTCCATTCCAAAAAAAAGGGAAATAAATTTTAAAGCAAGATAATAAAAATATGGAATTACAACATTTCCATAAGACCATCTTGATCTGACAAGTTAACACATTTTGAGACAACTTGGGTATTCAATTCAATCTGGATAATTGTATGAGAACCAAGCTTTTGTTCTTGTGCCTGCGATGCACTGTTACATGTATCTGGCATAGAAATTAATATTTTGATTACATCCTGTACCATCAGCTGAGGTAAGGATTTTAACCAGTTGGTTTCAGTTTACCTACTTGTGCAGCTATTTTTCCTTTGCCCATTCCAAGATCTTGCCTGACAACTAAAACCATTTTAAATTCTCCAAATCCATCTGACACTGAGGTTACAGACTAGAACAATCAGGAAGATAATAATGTAAAAAGCATGTTTCTTGTACAGACTGAGATGTCAGCCATCTCTTTGCCCTCCCTCTCCCTGAATGCCTTTCTGCCAATTGGGGGTATGGGACAAAGAGATGGCTGGCAGTTTAGACAAAACTAATGGTTGTATTGCAATCACTTTGAGCTCTGTGGGTGAGTTTACTTATAATATTATTTGCTTAGCCTGACAAAACAGATGACACTTTTTGATGCCACCAGTGGTTTCCCTTGTGGCATTGCAAAATTTCTGTTTTCTCAGGCTATTATTTGCCTTGCATGTCAGAAATGAGTTTCACTTCAGCTTTTTTCCATCTGAAACTTGCTTGTGTCCTGGAAATATATCTTTGAATTCCTGTTATGATGAGTCTGAGTAGGTCTGAGTAAGGGGGGGCAGACATGGGGGGAGGGGGGGTAGCGTGGAGGCCAGGGAGGGTAAGTACTGAAAAGAGAAAGCCTCCAAAGTGTAAATCAACAAAGGATGGCATCTTGGGCAGGGGCATTTAGCAGAACGCAGAATGCAGAATGGCATTGTTCATTCTTCATTGTTCTCCATTCAAGGTACAGCTTAAAATTATGATGGGTGAAAAGAATGAAAATCACAGCATTTATCCCAACTTCATTTTTAGACCACATTGTATTTATATTACAGTATTGTGTTACTGAACATTACTAATTAATATACCTGGGTTGCCTGTGGTGTAAAAAAAAAATTTTAAAACAAGTTCTGTACAATAACAAAGGATATGTTAACTTAAAAAAGAATAATCATAAAACACACAGTGTCGATAAGAGTTTGGAATAACTCAAATAATCAACAATGGAATTACTAAAGTTTAGGCCATTTTATAGCATACCTCTTGATCACTGTTTCCTTTTGACCTTAGTCCTCTGAGAAACCATCCAAGGCAAACTCCTACAAAAACCGCTAATATTAAAATAAACGAACCACTTAGATCTTCAATGTTCTTCATGAAATATTCTTTTTTGTCCATCATTATGAAATTTTAACGCTTATTTTCTTCACACTTTCTGCTCTTGCGCGCTCTTCTTCATTTTAACAATATGCGCCGACTATCCACAGTGACAGCAGTTTAATCAATGAGAAAAAGCGTGCGCATAAGAAATATCAGAATGCTGCTGACAGTCTGCGTCCCGCGCAGTTCAAATGTTCGAAAGTGTGTATGTCAATCTTGAAAGTCGGAGAAGATTTCTTTCAAAAGCTAGTATTTCTGGCCTGTTTAAGCAAGTGGTGTTGTAGTGAACTTTTCAGTTATCTCCTCAAAGAAAAGTTAGCAATGGCAACTGGTGCTGATCAAGTGAAAGCTTTACATGAAGCCGGTTTATTTGCAAGCTCCAAGCTTTTGGTAAGATCGAGCATTCTTACTTGCAAATGTTGTTATTTTCCCTCGCGATCTACAGCTCATCCAGGAAAAACACCTCAGAATCTTCAGAGTATTATGTTGTGGTTCATTGGGCCCCCTCACTGCCTCGATCCAGGGCTTATATCACAGTGCCGGCTCCAGACCTTGAGATAAGGGGGGAGGGCGGTCATCCAGACCCTTAGTTAAGAGCAGGGGGGGAAGGAGCGGTTTCCAAAAAATTTTTTTTCGGCCTTTCGGGTCTCAGTTTGGTCTAAAAATAAGGGGGGACCTCCCCTGGATTCACCACTGTATTAGCGGCAGTTTTGGGCATGGAATTAAATATTATTACCCCCGGGTTGGGCTGGTACACAATATACCAAGTGAATAGCAAGTCTTGAGTAACGTCACAAAGAACAGAACAATGATCCCTAGTCCTTACACAATAACACAATAAACTTCACACAATAGAATGAGATAATAATGCATATATTGACTTGGTATATCGAGCATCACCAACCCTCGAAGTTGCGACCATTGTAGTCGCCATGGTGCCTAAAATTTTGGAACTGGCAACTTGATTTGGAGAATAGTCGCCAAGCTGGCGACCGTGAAGAGTTCGTGTTGGTGTATAGAAACAGAGATGGTAATCACTTCTACTGAAATATGAAGAACATTATTTTATTCTAGCTGATTTGAATTCTATTACTTTTTTACTTTTCCGTTGAAAAACATGCTAAATTGAAAACTTAAAAAAATCTCAGAGCTAAGCGTTTTGAAAATGAACATCAATGAAACTTGACTTGCATTCGTTCGCCAAATTGCCTTCAGTCTGTTGCCTTGCACGTGACATTTTAACTTTTGACATGTGACAAATGGCACGCAATCGAAGCGCTTTGCTTGTCGACAGTGACGATTTCTTTGATATCTTAGGAATGCTTGTCAAGCAAAGTTCGGTGGTTTTTTAACTGGACCACATATTATAAATATTTTTGAATCAATACTGAAACAATCTAATAACATGAAGAGGGAAAGCTAAATTGGTGCAAATTCAACACAGAACATTATGTGATAACCGTGTGAACCGTGCTGCGAGTTGAATCGCGGTTTTGTAAACAAAAGCGATAATTGTAAGCGAAACTAAACATCGCAAAACTGACAGCTTATGGTTGTTGCAAAAAATGGGTTTTTTTAAACACCTGTAGCGATGATAAAGGAAAAAGAAAATTTATTATTTCGTAAGCGGCATTTTTGTTTGGGTTCCTTTCAATTGATTGGGAAAAACATTTTTTCCCAGTACAACTCGTTGGGAAAATTTCACGTGCGCGATGTTATCTCTATAAAGCAATGACTTGATTTAGAAAACTTGTTGATCTTCCTATACTCTCCTGCCTTTTTCAGGCTTTTGTGATGTCTAGCGATAATAAAAACGACCTTTTAAATCTCCAAAAATATTTCATAGTTGGGGAAACAAGTTCATCATCAACAAAAGTCACAAAAGAAATGCGAAACAAATATCAGAAAAAAAAAAATAGGTCGCCTATCAAAGTGCGACTGGGAAATTTTGAACACATTAACAGAGGATGAGTTAAGTTCTGCTCTCATATACCAAGACTGGGGATTATACAGAAGGATTGAAGGTCCTAAAGACAACTGGAAATGGTAATTGTCTTTACAATTCCATTTCAGTATTGATTCAAGGAGATGAATCTGCAAACCTTATTCTCAGACTATCAGTAACTAATGCCTTGCACAATAAATGAGTAATTTATAGACAGTGCTGCATTTTAAGTTAAACTTGCTAACTGCTTTTGTTAATGACAATTTTGATATATTAATATATTAATATAATTTGGTGCCTACAAAGTTTCCCTGGTGACTAAACCCAAAGAGCTGATCGCCAAATGGCCACTGAACAAAAATTTTAACTTTGAGGGTTGATCACCCCCGGGTTGAGGAGCAATGGAATTCCTCAGGGGTAAGTAATCAAAGTAGGTTGAGTGCAATCCTATCAAATTCTTCAAGGGTTAAAATGAAAACGGACAATTCCTCATTAATTGTGTGGATATTACAATGTTTATACTACTACATGAGAAATTTCTGCAATTTGATTGGCTAAGAGCAGTGGTATTTCCGCTTAATTTGAAATACCTATATGTGAAAATTACAAACCTTTTGTGGGTAGTAGTATAAACCAAAAATAGCATGATTTGTGCTTGACATTCAGCATAAATACCACTTGAGATATTTCAAAATTCTCTCAAATTTCACTTGCCTAATGGCTCATGAAATTACATACAACAATTTTGAAATATCACTTGTGGTATTTATGCCAGTTAATATCACTACAAATCATGCTATTACCTATACAAATGTAAGAGCCCATTTTATTACCATACAATTGTAACAAAAAAAAAGGAAAGTAAAAAACAAAACATACAAACCAGACTGGCAAGGTGTACAATATTATCATAAATATCACACACAGCTTGAATCATTTTCATAAAGGTTTGCTTTGAATGTACTGTAATCTCTTATTATTTTTTCCTTGATTTTAATTCCAGGCCAGTTTTTTGTTGTCAGCAAATGAACATGGGAACCAAGATAAATATGATCTCAGCACCATGGTTACCAAATATCAACTATTTGTGTATTTAGCTGACTCCTTATTTGACGATGAACAGTATAAAAGAGCAGAGGTCAGTAAAATAGACCTACATGTATACTATAGTGGTACCATAAAATTCCGAAAATAAGCCCCGGGACTTATATTTTTCAAAGGTCCTTTTTGAGGGGTTTATTTTTGGAGGGGCTTATATTTGAAAAGGCTTATGTACAGAGGGAAATTTGCATTTCAAAATCGATTGGGCTAGCTTACTGTTGGAAGGTATTTTACTGTTTTTACTTTGGGCAATTTCCAAGTACAAGCCACCCTGGAGGCTTATATTAATTGGTGGGGCAATTTAACGGAGGGTTTTTTGTGTTATGAGTTTGGGGGGCTTATATTTAGAGGGGTTAAATACATCGAGGGGCTTACTTTCGGAATTTTACAGTATGTCCAGTTTGGCTAGGGGATGAAAAAATGGCAAATGATCATTCATTTTGTAGAAACCATCATCCTGTCATTACAATCTTAATGCTGGACCAAGTTTTTAGTATACAGATTTTACATAAGGCATTCTTAACTCATTCACCCCCGAACAACTTATCCATAATCGCCCATGCAGATTCATGTACCTTATTGTGATGTCAACAGTTTTCACAGTCAAGGACAATTTTTCCAGCTAACATGTGCAGGAGGAAGAGATCTTTCAAACCATACCAGAATTAGCACAATTCAGTCAAGAAGGCTAGATGAAGAGGCCTAAAAAATGTTAAGTTGACCTAAAAAATTCCAATAGGAATGTTGGTTGACTACCCGCCTGCACTTCCATCTAATCCTGCAGTCCTAAAATATTTCCCCAAAAAAGGCCCAGTAAAAGAAAAAGAACGGGAAAAAAAAGCGAAAGAAGGGGGGTCGGAGGAGGGAAGGCAAAAGGTAAAAGTCAAGACTGCTGCGTCACTTTTAAACCCACATTAAATATATTTTTGAAGTGACAAAAATTTACCTCAATGTTTATATTCAAAATAGCATTTTTACACAAGAGCTATCCAACTGAGGAAAACGATTATCAAGCACAAGCCAAAGTCTAGTCCACCACTGGTATGCAAATTATGTTTCTTTTCTTACAATAAATTATTGAGAGTTACAATGGTCAAGTGCCTTAGAAGCATTAATTACTGTTCATGTTTGTAGACATTTAGAAAAATTTTCTGTATCCAGGGTTTACTGTCAGAGGTTGAGGTAAAGTACAAGATGTCAGAATGCTATCTTCATATGAAGGAGTATAGAGAAGCTACAACAATAGTAAGTGAAATGAAATTAATATTATTTTTCTGTAACAGTTCCAAAGAAGATTCTTTTTCTCTCCCTCTCTAACTGCTTATGCTATTGGATGTCACATCTTTGACCGCAGAGGGGAAACAATCTCTGTCAAGTGCCAATCTTCCAACATCTTTTAGTTACCTGTCAAAAACATCCGATACGTCCATTCCCCATATCCTTCTTAGTCTTCGTCTTTCTCTCTTCCCCTCTATCTTTCCCAAGGCTTCACTTCTTTTCCAATGACCAAAATACTTTCATTTCTTTATAAAGATCTCTAACCATTGATCTTCCACTTTAATGTACTGTTACAATGTATCTAGTAGGTATTTATATTGCTTCAGCTACACAGTCCACATTGGTATGGTAACTACATTTGGCCAAAAAGGGTGTTTGTTCGACCCACTTTGTTCTCATCTTCAGGACAAAACGAAACAAAGCTACCTGAATTGTTGTTTAGGAGCTATCATTAATTTTTTTAAAAATGTACAAATGCGTATTAGTGTTTAAACAAATTTACAAGTAAAGATTTAGTTTTCATATTGTTGTTATTATAATACTGTTATTTTTTGTATCAATTGTATATTGTAGCTTGAAGGTGTATCACAGAAACAGAGGTCTCCAAAAATCAATATGTCCCTTGCTAAACTGTATCAACGGCAAGGCATGGAAAGGTACTAGTCAAGAAGATTCATTTATTTGTTTTCCTAAATGCATACAATGTCACCTCCTTTTATAGGCTCAATTTCCGCTGTGGGTGAGTTTGTGCTCATTCTCCCAAACAACTGCTGGTAATCGAGCCTACCTCTTTTGTGGCCTTATTTAAGGTTCTATAACAACATTCACTTTGCCTTTAGGTCAGCTATCTCCTGTTATAAAGAGGTTTTAAGGTAAGAGAAGACTATTAAGATTCTACGTACCTTATGTTTCCTTGACTTTGTATCTCTGCTGTGGTTCAGAATAGTATTAATAAATTTTTGTCTTTCTTCAACTTAAGATTATGATAATTCATCCCCCCTCAAAAAAGGAAAATAAAAATGATGCTGGTTTAAACATTTCAAACCAAAGCGCCTCTAGCCCTCAGGTCTGTTTTTGTTTTCTTTTTGACCCTGTCCATCCCTCAGCTTTTTGTTTATCCAGGAAATATACCCTCCACATTAAAAACTTTCCATTTTCACCCCCTCCCACCCCTTCCCATTTCAATCCTCCAGGAAATTCTGGAATGACATTATTGACCATCATACACTATACCACAAAAAATATGACTCTGAGTCCCAGTATATACCCTTTGAAAGAGGAGGACAGCAGTGCATTTTTATATAATTATAGCTATAATATTTTCTCATCAAATATTATGTTGATACCCTCCCTTCCAAACAAAAAAGTTGGCCATTTCCAGCTGGGCACTTTAAGCTGCTAAATAGTTAAAAAGGTTAAAAGGAGGGAGTATGCTCTTAAAATTTAAAAATGTATGTTGCAGTTCTTTGTCATTATGTGTGTTGTTGTGTACTTTGTAGGGTATGCCCTCTAGCTTTGGAAGCTGTGATCGGTTTGTTGTCACTTGGTGTTCCTGGCAGTGAAGTAACCTTACTGACTTCTCCATCAACTTCAGGAATGGAATGGTAAAACTTGCATCATTATACATTTCTGGGAAACTGTGCACCTACCCCACGTCTAAGCCAACTTTTTGCCCTACGTGAGAAGTAAGTGTTAATGTTGGCTTATGGAAGAGTAGGTGGGCAGTTTCCCAGAAATGTAAATGATCCTAAAACTTTAGCTACAATTTATTCAATAATTTAAAAATTAGCTGACTAGTTCAATGAACTTATTTGTTTTCTTATCAGGCTAGGATCGTGGATAAAAGCACAAGTTTTGGCAGCAACAGGAAAGCACACAAGTAAGAGAATTTAATAGCATGTTCATGTACCTTTCTATGAAGTTTTTTTTTCTTTTCCTGAGAAAATATTTTGTAAACTAGAAATGTGTGTCTCGCACACCCTCGTAAAACTCAGTTTAAATAATTATATTAATACTTTGTAAATAATTACCAGTCTGGGGTTTGGGCAGATGATTCTTATCCGTGATGGTAATAAATTAATTTACAGTGTATGAGTAGGTTCATTGAATTTTTAAAAGATCATCACCATCATAGTAATAATAATAATAATAATAATAATAATAATAATAATAATAATAATAATAATAATAATAATTTATTATAATAATAACAATGATTATAAATAACAGTCATGAATGTCATGTAGGTTCTGTACAATAAACAAAGTCTTGTCTTTTTCTAGAGGGTGGACAAGCTTTAAAAACATTGGAAACTCAGGTTTGAGAGAATCAAAATAGAAGTTATTTTACATTGTATACATCACACCAGTTAAGTCTTTGAGTTAAGAAGATTGGAGTGTATAGAGAGTGCATAGTCCCAGCTCACAGATCTGAGTGTTACATACTACTTATCAACCGTGAGTGAGGTCATTACAGAAAAATCTCAGACTACATCAAGGCCAAGGTCTGAGATTTCCTTGTAATGACCAAACAGACCAGGTTAATAAGTTACTTATTACATGGCCTTTTCATTATGGACCCGAGCCTGCGGTCAATAAAACCAGCAACTGGTCAGCGGATAACTTAAAAAAAACAATGAGTTGTACAATTGAGGCTGCGATACAGTCAGATGACACTGGTCAGCGGATGTCCTTTTTGACAGCTGTCAATTGACCATAATATTGATGTCCATTAGGATGTCCACTATCAAGGTAAACACAGAATGTATAATTATGCTTTGGACAGCTAGCTAGTAATGCCCAGTCATTACAGAAACAAAACAGCCAATCAGAGCATGCATACTATTGTAGCCATATAAGAAAATTAATTAAATGGTAGTTGTTTAAGGCGACCTCAAGATCTACCCCTCAGCCATGCTTAAAAATAGTTTTGTTGCTGGATGTATAGGCCAATTCCCAACATACTTACTTACAATGTACTTCCTTTGATTATGGCAGAGATAACTATTGGATGTCTTTTCCAATGATCAAAATCTATTATACATGGCTGCACTAAGATTTTCAAAAGGAATGTCTCTGTTTAATATTTAGACCCTGTTTAATACATGTTATTTACCTTAAACAATATTTTAGGAAAATAAAGAGCAAGATACATTATATTTATAAAAATATAGAACAATGAGAAACATTGTGTGTAATTTATTTCAGTGTTTACGAGATAATGTGGAATTGCTATGTAATGCTGCTGAGATGTTTTACAATTCTGGAGATTACAACAGTGCGAAGTCTTTCTTTCAAAGGGTAAATAATTTATCAACAATCTTGGACAAAAAGTGTTAAGAATTTCACAGTTTCTATCCCACAGGGTCGCCATGACTGCTGCCCCCCTCCCCCACCCTGGTCAATGTTGTTCAGTCAGAGGCAGAAATGATTCAGTCAGACTTCAGCACTGTTTTTTAGAGGAAGGGTGGAGGGGAGTACCGGTATTTGTAACTGCCACTGTTTAAAGAACTTTATTTGAAGCTAGACATATCTTAACATTTTTGTGCAAGATATTTGTAGCTTCCCTGACACTAGAATTATTGTGAATATTGTATTTTTCAATAGTGAGATTTAGTAAGTCATTTCTAAAGAGTTTTGCAGATTGAGTGGTTTTGTTGTGGCTGTGGTTGATGAGTTAGAGCCTGCATCTATTTGTCACTTATTTAGAATACATGTACACTGTAGGTTCCTCTTAATCAAAATCACTGTGTTGTTTCTTTTTTCACCACCCACCCCCAGTCCTGTGGGAAATAGAAAATCTAAGTTGCTTCAAGTTGATCTTAAGTGAAGAAGGCACCCACTGGCACTTGTGTACAAGTACATGTATCTTTGTAGTACTGGCAGTGCGTACCCACTTTCTACAATTTTTGTACTAGCAGCATCCTTGATTACAGTTTGTAAATGTGTCCTATATTATTTTTGTTGTTACAGGCCCATTCTCTGGACCCATGTGTTCTGCAGGGGATGGACATTTATGCCTTCCTGTTGTCACAAGGCAGGCATGGTAATAATGAAGGACTAGAAAAGTAAGTTTTAATGATTTTTTCATGAATCATCTTTCATATACCTGTGGGTCTTGCTGTTTTTTTTTCTTTTCTTTTTTTTTTTCACTTCAACATGGAGAAGGAGAATTTTGGGTTCACGTACAGTGTTCTTTAACTACATGTACCTCTCCTATAATCACATATTAAGCACTTCTGTGTTCAAGGTAAATCATTTTCACTCTGGTATGCAGGCCATATTGAACAGGCATATGCAGGCCATATCATACAAACTGTTCATTCATATCAGCCTCTAGACTCCCCTAGAGTAGGAAACTCTCTCAGTAGGAGAAAATAATAATTACAGGCAATAATATTGAAACGGAACAAAGGCTGGATAGAGTAAGCAAATAAGAATAAGACGCACAGTGTGTGGGAAATGAAAACTTGTTCAACTTGCCTCCTGCCATTTTATCTCTGTGCTGTCTCCTACAATACTTTCTAGAAAATCATCATCAAGGAAGATAGCTTGTCTCTTATGCAACTCACCACTCATTTCTCGCAGGTTAGCCAAGGACCTTATTCAAGTCACACAGCTTAAACCGGAACCTTGGATTGCCATGGGTCACTTCTGCAATGTAACCAATAGAAAACCCAGAGCTGTTTACTTTGCTCAAAAGGTATGAGGACGTACTGACTTGTACTTCTATTTGTAGGAAAATAGCCTGCATGGTGGGTATTAGCTGGTATTGAAGGAAAAGCATAAGGGAGAAAAAGGGATGGGTGCAGAAGGATAAATGGGAGCTTCCTTCCCTCCTCCTTGGTACATATACATCTGTATGCCCTTTTTCTACTTGCACATCTTAAAATCCCCATTCCTTTCAAAGACTTGCCTTGTAGGTTATAGCAGAAGGTATCTTTCACCACTTGAGAAGATGTATGCCAATATACACTCATCCTCGTAACAGAGGTGAAATATCCAAATTTTGGGAAGGTCATCATCAAGATAGTGTAGCTGATTGCCATCACATGTTCTCCCATGGATAAACCCTTGCAGTGTAATAAATAGATCATGTCATTTTTAGCACAAAATTGCACTTAAGCATAAAAATCACATACAGAGTAAGGCACTATTCCTTGTTGCTAAACAACTAACTGGGGTTTTCATTTATCACAGTATTCACTCTGTTCCATTATAAAAAGTGAAAAGGATGTGGCACTTTGTGGGGCCATGGCTTTTTGTAAGGTATGATTTTATTGTATTTCAGGCCCATACTATTGACAGTCGCAATGTCCAAGCACTAGTTTTGAAAGGTAACAAATAAAATAATGTACTTTTGATTTACACAAAGTGAACAAGTTTTGAACCGACTGTGATTTTCCCTTGACAAAGAAAGGTTTACTCCACGTTGTCTTAACAGTTACATGTACAATGTTAGACATTCATTTAAGGCTTATGACCAAATGACTATAAACTCTGTTCTCTATATTCCTGCAAAAGAAATACCTCATTTTTCTATTGTAGCGGGGCTTCACTTTTTGCACTCCTATGCAATGGAGGGCCCCTGGCTGAGAAGGTCAGTTAATGCAAACATTACTTGTTATCATTTCAGCGAGCTTGCTACAAGCTTTAGAGAAGCAACAGGAAGCTTTGTTGCATTTTCGTGAAGCAGTGAAGTTGGCTCCATGCAACTTTGAAGCTCAAAAAGGTACTTAAATCAATAAAAAAAAGTTTTGCAGGTTGAAACACTTCAAGTAAAACAGACACTCCCAAATACCATATTTAATGCAGGTTCCTTTTTTTGCTACCTACCCCTGGACAAGCTCGCAGGTCACAGGCAGACCAAAATCCGAGCATCTATCTCTTAGTACTTAAAAGAGTTTATACGGGTAAACATTACAGCATTTCCAGTTTACTCCAAAAATAAATATTAATGTGAATGTAAATGTTTCACAAGAAGTTCAAATGCAATGTTAGCTGAGTCATGTCTCATAAGTTTTCACTGTCCCAAGCTGTTTAAGACGTCATCTTGGATGTTCTTTTTTCCTGCCGTCGGCTAGAGAGTAACAAGGATCCAGAGAAGGAAAATAAAATTTTCACAAAAGCAATCGTATTATTATTATTATTATTATTTATTATTATTATTATTATTATTATCATTGTTAACTGGCTAGTATCAACATGCTATGTATATTTTTCTAACTGGATAGGTCTTGTAGAATGTTATATGGCCGCAAAAAGACACAAAGAAGCTCTTGCAGTGGCAAAGAATGCGCACAAAACATTAGGAGCCAATCCACGGACGCTTACAGTAAGATTACAGCCATTCAGGTTGTTTTTTCCTTGAAACTGTCCTTAACTTTTATCATTTTATTTTTAATTGTCATTATTATTTATCATCAGTATTATTTCTTTCATGATACCAGTTCATATTTATAGATTAATTTTTAGATTTGAGTATGTCTAACCTCAAGACTCGGCTTTATTTTTCCATTCTCATAGCTATGCGCCTCGGTTATGGTCCATGAACCTTCATCGTATGACAGGGTATGTACAGGGAAAAAGTCACGGGCACTGTATGTAACCCACAACAGGTGCCAGTAAATGATGGCGGTTAGCTTTACCCAGTTGATCACATTGGCACAAGTCCATTGGATAGTGATTTATCAGTGGATAGCGCAGCTACCTTCTCGAAAGACGGGCCTGGAAAGCTTTTGTTGTTTGCATTCAAGATCAAAGTTTCAATGTTTTTGCAGATAACATGATAAAACTATCAGTAAACAAAACAAAATGGGCTGGTTTGTTACCTACATGTAGGTCCCGCACTTTTACAGTCAAACCTGTATATAACAGCCCTGTACATAGCGGTCACCCTGTGTATTACGGTCACTTTGCAAGAGTGACCGTTTTACACAGGTTTGACTTTAATTTTGTTAGAATTTGGTTTGAATATTTGATTTGGGGCCCGAAAAGTTATCGGGACTTTCGAGAAAATGACAACCCTCAGAATGTCAACAGTCTGGCACCAAGATGTGGGGAGCAAGGGTGCATGGTGCAGGGCACTCTCCTCCCACCAATGTGACCCAGGTTCAAATCCTGGTGTCAAAACCATATCTGGGTTGAGTTTTTTGTTGATTCTCTCCTTTGCCCCGACAGGTTTTTCTCTGGGTACTCCGGTTTTCCCCTCTCCTCAAAAACCAACATTTCCAAACTTCCAATTCGACCAGGAATTGTAGGCGAAGAACCTCTACATAGATGTGCTACCTCTAAATCGTTATTGTTATTATCATGAGTTTTTGGGACAAAGAAGAAATCCGCCATCCTGACAGGACTCGAATCCATGACCTCTCAAACACCGGTCAAGGTTCGTAACGCTGAGTATGAAGGTATCTCCATTTTGTTTGTAGGCTACAAGTATGCTTGAAAAGAGCCTGGCTCAGGATGAAACTTACACTGACGCTGTTTGTCTGCTGGCGGAAATCATGGGAAAGAAGCAGGAATACGATAAAGCAATAGCACTGTACGTTTGCGCACGTAACAATTTATGAATGACTATAAAGTGGCTTTAATTTTGCAAAAGTAGTTAACTTGACTGAAACCTTCTACCTGTGGTCGATACCTAGATTATCAACGTTTAATTTTGTTTTGCAGTTTGCGGAAACACATGAATCATGACCGCACACCCCGTTTGCATCAGCTACTGGGGGATTATTTAGCGCTAACAAGTGATTACCAAGAAGCACTTGATCATTACACACAGGCACTGAGGTAAGAGTGATCATTGCCAATATTCTCCCTGAAATATTAATCAATCACTGATCATGAGGTATTGAGAGCTGAAAGAATGAACAACTCAGATGAATTCCCCTGTCAAGGAGAGTCAAGATGGTAGTTGCAGTAACTATTAGTGTTTGAAAGTCATCAAAATACTTCCCTGTTAGAGCGGCTTTCACAACAGTTGAACGTCAAAAGTATCCTCTTGATTGCTTTCGTTTAGCATTGCTGTGCCTTTTGAATGGTTGAAAAACTCACAGCATTCTCTCTACCAATCAGAAATAAAACTAGGACCGACCTAAGCCCTTGATCATTGCACACAGGCACTGAGTAATAATAATCATTGCCAATATTCTCCCTGAAATATTAATGAATCACTGATCATGAGGTATTGAGAACCGAGAGAATGAACAGCTCAGATGAATTTTCCCGATAAGGAGGGAGTCAAGGTGGGGTTGTGATTATTGTCGTTGCAGTATTAGTGTTTGAAAGAGTCATCAAAATACTTCCCTGTCGAAGCGGCTTTCACGGCAGTTGAATGTCGAAAGTAATTTCTTGATTGCTTTGGTTTAACTTTGATGTACCTTTTGAAGGCTAAACAACTTGCACCGTTTTCTCGACCAATCAGAAATACGACCGAGACCGACGATGAATTGTTCCCGCGCTTTTTTCCTCGGTCGACACCATGCAATCTCATTAATTTTCTTCGGGATCTTATTGGTTTCTATAATTGGCTTGGCATATTTTCAGTGGCCAGGGTAAAATTAACAACTTTGATTACACCACACTCAAATAATAACCACTGTATTGGTGAAAGGGGTATTAAATCGTCTCTTTCTCGTGTAAACCCGAGTAACACTCTGGCAGAAGAAAGGCCATAACATCAATAAGTTATTTAAAATGCTATTGTAAACGAGGCTGCCTTAATGTTTTTTGATTGTAGTATGAACCCGGGGGACAGCAAAGCCAGGGAAGGAATAGAAAATGTAGAAAGAGCGAATGGCGGAGAAATGGAACACGATAGTGAAGAGGACGTAGAACCCAACGGCGAAGGTGTCAGTTTAGAAGAGGTAATTATTCACTGTAAAAGCTCAGAACCCAGGAGTCATTTCATAGGTAGGTGGAGCGTGATCGTCGGGGTGAACGTAGTCCTGAATAGGACTGTTCTTGACAGTGACTGACGTTTCGATAATCTGTGCGGTAGTCATCTTCAAAGTCAAAGTGAGTCATAGCACGTCACTTAATGGTATTAAACTCTGGTTATCAACCTGATTAGTCGATTAAGTCGCGATGTTATGGGTTGTCTGTCGGTTATTCTTTTTCACTCTTACAAAGGGATGTGTCTCTTGCAGAGAAAGGAACACATCCACCGCCTAAAACTATATCAAGATGAAAAAACAAACAAACAAACCACTGAAAAAAACAATAAAGGACAAATAACTGTACTCTTACTGTAGTTTCCCTAGTAGAGGTAATTATTTCTTTTGTGAAAAATCTTTTTTGCAGGACGGCATTGAAGACGATGAGCCCTGGGAATCACAAGACATCCGTGGAGCGGTGAGAAAATCAATTTGTTTCATTTTTTTGTCCTTCGAGAAGTTTAAAAAATTATATAATGATAATAATAATAGTAATATTTTTTATTTATTTCGTGCATATTCCATAAAATAATCATATGTGCATGACAATCTTACAAAGAAAAAAATATATGTTAAAATGACTAATTCATTGCAATGATATACATGATTATGTTCTGAAACTATTTAAAAACGTATCGTATGTATAAAAATATGTATTATTGTCCTGTTTTGTTAATTTCGCAGCTTTTCTGACGAATTTTTATTTCTGAGCAAAGCTGAGGAAGACACTTCGATACAGGGCAACCAACCTCTGTTTGAGTGGTGTCCTGTGCTCTCACCGTTCCTGTATCAGTTATTAAACACTCCATTGTAAATAAATTTGAAGCTTTTTTCACTTTTTGAAAATGATAACAATAATTAAGTCGAACTTTCAGTATGAAGTGTGCAAGTCTTGATGAACAGCGAAGAAAATTAAACAATGTGTTTAGAATTTCAACACATGCAAGACAGAACACAGTACAGAAACAGGACAAACGCTATTAGAAAAAGATCTGTAATTTGTATCATATCGGATCTTGGCTAGAAAGCTCGTTGGAATCAGAAGACTTTTTCAGCAACGTATGTCTTATTAACTTAGTACCTATGAAAGTGTAAATAGAAGAAAGAAATAAAAACTTATATATTTGTATCTCTAAATGTGTTTCGTAGTATTTTCATATCTTTTTTATTTAAGGACAGGAACTCCTCTTCCCTCCCCGTCCCTAATCTCATTCTTTTAATTCTGATAAAATCAGGTGTGACACAGTTACCTCGAGAAATCCCTCATTTAGTTTTGAAGACAACTGTCACCAGCAGAGTTAGAGGAACTGTTGAATTGAGAATTTCAAAAAATGGGGTCTTTCTGCAGGTACCGGAAAGCTTTGTATTTTTGGTCACTTGGGATTAGTCTTTATTTGGAGTTGTTTTGTTTCCTGTCTTTTATTACTATTGTATTACGTAATCTGTGCTCCGGTACTCACAGAAGGAACCAAAAAATGTGGTACCGCGTTGCTTATGGAGTGAAACACAAAACTTTGGATTTGTCAACTGTTAGACTGCGACTTAGTCAATTTAGTTGAAGAAAACAAAGTTTTTTGCTGAGGAAAAACTTCAGTTGGTGTTTGAAATTCAGTAGAATTGAATCCTGTGATTAAGAATAATAAAGTTTCAAAATTATAGTGGTTATCGTTTGGTAAGAAATAGAGCGAATAGAGATCATTACTTGCAAATTTGGCTCAGGGAGTTTTTTTAAATTTTATTTTCTCTTTTGGGGGGCAAAAAAGGGATTAAAAGAAAACAAAATCTGAAGAAAAAAATAAACTAGTGAATTTTTCAACCTTATTTAAGACCCAAGCGGTTAAAAACAGGCCGTCAGACGCTGAAGAAAGTAAATAAGATACCTTTCTTATATTATGGCAGGTGTTTCTAAGCTTATTTTACAATTCAAATCAACCTTCTACGTTGGGTTGTCTTGGTTTCTTCAAACAACCTTTATGAATATTTAATAACGAAGCGTCCAGATCTGCAAGAATAAAAACCTTGCAGTCGTATAAATTTTCTTCTTGAGAAACTATATTCTTCGATTCGAGGGGAATCCAGTTAAACAGAAAGCCAGCTAAAGTCGAAGAAAGTCCATTGGATGCGAGGAAAACCCATTTGTCGTTGCTATAAACTGTACTGAAAATCTGATCCTGATAATTTTCGCAATTTTTGTTGAATAATCTCTGCAACATGGGCAAAGATATCGTCCTTGGTGAAGACTGGCTTATTACTCTGTCCGTTATTTACGGCCTGGGTGCTGTACTCTCAGTTTGGGCTACTCTTCTTTCGCCGATGATCTTAGATATTTGGGACACTCCGGCCGGGCAGAAAAAGAAAGGTGATCGCGATTGGTCGACAATATTTCTGGTTCTTCTTCTACTTCAACCGCTCACGTTCGCAGGTTCTGCAGTGGGGATGTGGTGGATCACTGCGTTTGCTTTTGTACCTCCGGGACATTTTGTACTTACATTCATCTCTTTCTTGGCTATTGATTTTTTTCGCCCCGACGACGATGTGTTCAGCAAATACAAATATTCTGTTCTCAGCTGAACGTTGGACCCCCGGAATAATGTATTCGTGATAAGTAATTATGCATGCTGTATCCTAAAATAGAACTTGAACAGATGTCCTCAAAGAGGGCCTTAACACTTCATTGCAAAAACTGTGAGAACGTTAGAAGAATTTATTAACTCAGCAGTTTTTTCTTCATTTAGTTTAATTTTGTTGTTTCATCATTTTTAATTGTCATTTGCTACGGAGTAAAAAAAAGTACCGCTTTAAAATAACTTCTCTGTTTGAAACACAGTGTTCTTTAGACTGACTTCTTGACTTATAACCAAGTTATGTTAAAACCTTATTATTTTATATTATCATCATCATCATCATCATCATCATCATCATCATCATCATCATTATTATCATTGAATTTGTATTCTGTACTTTGGTACCCAACTTCTGGAAAATTTACTTAGAGTAAATATTCTACTAAATTTAAACATTTTACGTTGGTTATACTGTAAAAAAACCTCGTGTAAAGATTTACAAGATAATCAAGTCCAGTCTAGAATAGCTGGTGCGAGGAAGAATCAGTTTCGCTATTGATCGCTATTTAATAGGGACTTTTAAAGGGTTAAAAACAGGAACCGGCATTTGCTTTCAAAATGAGATACGTGAGCAAGCATTAGGTTGGCCCGCTCTCTTAAAGCCTGCAGCATAAAGCCCACAGAGTACAGTACAACCCCGGTAACTCGAACTCTAAAGGGAAACGAAAAACAGTTCGAGTCGGGGTCGATTGCAAAATTCAATTTACCTTATTGAAAATTGATACTGAGTGTTTTTTTCAGTACTTCAGTGTATAGTGCAGTGCAAATTTAACTTATTTTCAGAAACAGTAACATGATTGGGCAGGTTTTATGCTATAACGTGATCTGTTCGTTCGTTGCCCCAATTAGAATCAAATTGATGCAGTGTTCGAGTAGCCTGAATTTCGTCCGATTACTTCGAGTCGTTATTACTCCCTCAGCTGAGAGGAGAAAACGACTCGAAGCATTCGGATGAAATTCAGGCTAGCGTTCGACTTATCGGGGTACATTTCAGTGAATTTTTCATCAAGGGATATGAAATTTAGTTCGAGTTAGCGGGGAGTTCGAGTTAACCGAGTTAATCGAATAAATGATTGAAAAGTGGAGTGAAATGCGAGGGAAACTGGACTTAGTTCGAGTTAGCGGGGTTCAATTACTTGGCCGGAAATAGAATGCAGGGCTACCTAGGCTACTCTCCCCTCGCCTTACCCGTTCGAAAGGTGGATAACGTTCTCACTGACCAGCATTATTTAAGGGAAAAGTGGTGAAGAACACAGGCAGACCACCTCCTGTTCGTGTGGGGGAGCCTGAATCCCGAAAAACAACTTCATTTTGTTTCTCCAGTTATCCAAAGAAGCGGCAAATCTTACAATCTCTCTCCAAAGTTTTCTTCAAAGTTTTTTTACAGTTCCTGAAAGAGTTCTGTGCCACCTTAAGAGGTGGTGGCTTTAAAGGCCCAAAAATGAGCAGTTAATCAGTCAAGACTGTAGGAAAAGAGTGCAGTAGTAGCTCACGTTCTGAGTTACGTTCGTGCTAGTCATGACTCCGGCAACCAGAAATCGAAGGTGATGATGCAAGTGACTTAGGAGGATTCAGAAGACAATGCGAAGTCGGACCGTTCTGAAATGGTCGGCTTTGCCAAACTTAGTGTAGAGGTAATGTTCCAGACGCGCGCAACTGTTGAAAAACGTTACAGGGCCAAAGGAGTGAATTCATGGAAATGCATGTCAAGGGGGGAGGGGGGATTGGTCATAAATTTTACGCGAACAGGAGGGGGCCAGAGCTAACCTGGCTTTATTGGCACAACGTGGTATTACTCTATGCCAGGCTCATTTTTCAGGCTCCCCCTCCTGATAATTATTGCACAGTCCCCAAGACAAACGAGAACTACCCAGCCAAACCTCTGGGGGTAAGCAAACGCAACGGGTTAGCAGTCAGCGGTGAGGAAGATGTGGTCTTGAGTAAGGCCTTTGAAAAAAGGATCTGTCATTCGGGGAAACAAATGGGAAATGAGATCAAATAAAGATAAGCTTCATGATGTCTACTTGTAGTGTAGACAAGTCAAGCTCAGTAATTTAATTCATTTCGGAAACTCATGCTCTGAGAAAGTATAAACGGCAATGAACAGGAATGAATCCGTCAAAGTAAAAGAGAAGCGTTAACCGCATTCAGTAGAATAAGAAAAAGTAGTAGTTTTCTCGAGATAAATAAAAAGGGAGGCGGACCAAAAGGACCGAACAGTGATGATGATGAAGTTTAACTGAGTACTGGCATCATATCTCTGAATATCGCGTGATATATCTTTGGTTCTACGGACAACATCTGAACGTAACCACAGTTAACACCAAATTCCTCTTGATTAATTATCTCGATCATTTCTCACCGCAGATTGTTTTGTGGCCGATCGGATAACAAGTGTCCGTTACTGTTTTGCAGATAACGATCGCTTTCTTGAATCTGGGCCCAGTTGTTTGAGGGTTGATTAGCACCAACCTGGGGTTAAATTTTCTCTGGGTTTCTTTTTCTTTTGTTCAAGAGCATTTTATCCGATAATTTTCTAGACCTTCCAACTATCAAGTTTTAGACAAAAAAATTAAACTGAGTTGGCTTTTTGTGCTTTCATCTCTGAATTCAAATTTTACACTAGCCCTGGGTTATCTTAACCCAGCTTTGAACAACCCAGCCCTGGTGTTAATCTCCATAGTTACTTACGCTATGGCTCGACAGCTATAGCGGAAGATTTGTCTTGCTCATATAACATTACCTTTATATAAATGCCATTGGTACACCCAATGGCCTCCTTAGCCTTGATTCTCTGACTCGGTCCGAGATCGATCGCTATACTAAAAGAGAGCAAGGAATTTGAGGAGATTGGGGCGGGACCAACTTGAAAAACCGCCTGCACGGACGCGGGGCTTTCTTGAGTCGGTTTTTATTTTTCTCGCGGCTTCGCCGCTCAGTCGTGCTCCCGACAAAACCGCCATGCTACGCAGACTAGCCAGCAGGCTACATACCCAATCAGCTAAGACTAACTTAAAACCTATTGCCTCATGCCAAGTGACCACAAACCAATTACTAATTATAGACGTTAGTGGGAACTAGACGTGCCGACGAAAGTAGACAAAATCCTTTGATATTTCCTTTCTTTATATTTTTCTATTTTAACCTCTTGACAAAAATTCAGTTGGCAGGCAATTTTTATATTCACCACAGTAAATGGTATTGAAACATGCAAAATAATTGTAGATAGAAGATATACACTTTCGCTATCATTGATTCTTTGTTTTGAAATTCTACCTTATCTGCTATCGAGTAAATTTAGATCCCAGCGAAATGAAAACTAAAAAACACTATAGCAGTTCATTCGTAACGAGAAACAGCTGATTTAACAGATTATTTTTGTCGATTGCTAACCTGAATTAACGAAAACTACACTTCTTCCAGTAAGCCAAATATTTATATTGACAAGGACATAAAATGGCAAATGTTTAATATAGTCATAAATTCACAATTTTCTGGCCTGAGAAATGCGGTAAAGTAGAAACTCCACTGACGGTCACCTCTCCACAATGACGGCCACCTCTCTACAGCGGCAACTTCTTCTGTCCCCAAGGTTGCTGTTGTAGAGAGGTTAAATTTTATTTCTATGCAAGTTTTTTTGTTTATTTCTTATCTGTCAGAATTCAAGATGATTAAACTAGAAGAATGGTCTTGAAGAATGCCGATAATTTGACTGCAAAGTTTTAAAAATGTCTCTGATAGGCCAATTTTCTATAATATTTCTATTCAGTGTTTACTGGTAGACTAAAAACGGCGATTATTTTCACGCCTTATCTTTTCACCTACAGCAGAACACCGGTAACTCGAACTCTGAAGGGAGACGAAAAACAGTTCGAGTTTAATAGCGGGGGATTCGAGTTACCAGGGTAAATTTTAGTGAAATTTTGATCAAGGGAAAGGAAATTTAGTTCGATTTTACCGGGAATTCGAGTTTTCCGAGTTCGAGTTATCGAGGTGCCACTGCAGTTCTTAAATGAGTGCTTTCGAGCAAGAGAGAATTTGTTTCGAGTTAAAAGCATATAAATTAAGTTAAAACTAAACGTCTGAAAACAATTCACCTCTAGAAAAATTATAACAAAATGGTACGTGATTTTTCATTCATTTTCCGGGACAACAAGTCATCTTATCTTCTCTTTCCATTCTTTATTAAGCTCTTCCCTGTTTAAACTATTTTTAAGGAAATCAAAGTAAACAATTTACCTTTTCAGAGCGTTTTTTCCTTTTTTTTTACATTTCCCGAAACAAAATCTGACTTGTGGCTTCGACCCCAGTTCCGGGTTAAAAGCAATTCATTTCGCCGAGGATTTTGTATCCTTGCGGTTCTACAATTACCTCTTTTTTGTTTTCCGAAGAATCATTAAGGTGACCCAATCAATCTTCTAAAAGGCTGTCGGGGTGTAAGTGGTTTTTAATACATCCGAGTCATTTGTCCGCCATTTGTGTTTGCATACTATTAATCACCACTGTACATAAAAAGCCTGAAAAGGCCCAGTGTGATGAAAATGACTGGCTCAGCGCCCGCGTTTAAAACGATTGATTGCAATTTAAAGAACTTTTAATTTTCTGTTACTGAGTTGGTAATTATCAGCGCGACCCCTGCGGAAATCGTTGTTAAGTTTTGTTTGTTAGGAAATTCACCTTTTGTTTTTGTTTTTTGTTTATAATCCCTTTAATATTTTTGCCTTTTCTCTACTTCACATTATCGATAAAGAATGCCGGACATTTAAGAAACATCTGCATGCAGCGTTTTTTATTTCTCCATTAGAGGGAGCAATTTGTTGGCAGACGAGTTTAGTTGAGCTTTTTACTAGAAGATAATGCTGATAAAGTGCCAAAAATATTTAAGTTCATTCACAGTGGGTATGTTGATAAATATCACTGACATCTGACAAATGAGCCACTAAAAAAACAATTGACATTGACATTAATTTATTAAGGGTTCGGTTTTGTTCTCAGTCGGAAAACCTGCCTTTTAAAAATACAGCGCGTCGCCCATTCACTGAACGAAGTCTTCTTTGGAAAGCAGAGCAGGTGAAAGCTAGCGAAGGGTAAGGGAAATCTTAGATTATTGTTTTATATCCGACATTATATTCTTGAATTCAAAAAAAGTGTCGTGTCAGTATAGCAAAAGAACAATGATAATGCAATTGTAAGACCATTTGAATCCGAGAGTGAACCTAAACTTATATAATCCTAGATACGGGCAGGTCTGATTCAGTTTTTCCTA